TTGAAAAATGTGTCGCCATCAATTGGTCCCATGTCTTATAAGATTTGCAAGCATTCAGTAACTTTAGCGGAGTCTTGATCAACTTGAGACATACCACTTGAGCCTCCACCCTTGTGTAGTGTCTTTACCTTTTTTCTTAAAATATTCGTCAAATCTACTCATAGCAGAGAAAATTGTCTTTTGAAAGCTCTCTTTAGTTGATCTTGTACGAGCAAGGTCAGGAGATCGACTCCTATGACGAGAAATATCCACTACTTCATTGATCTCATTAGGATTTTCATCTCCTTCATCACCACTAATACATGGGCTTCTATTTAAAGGGTGAGCATGATTACCAGTTGCATATGTATCACCAAATAAATTACTAAGTAGATCATAATGTTTGCACCCTTTTTTCTGAAACCGCTTGGCATGCCTGACTTGCTGCAGTTATATATTATTGTTAATTTATATGAAACAATAGATAATATTACAAATAATATATTCCAACTAACCTTTTCCATCTCCTCCCGTTGGGCATCTGTAAGTGTGACCTGACTAGTTACAGGGTCCCATGATGAACCAGTGTTGGATAGAAATTTTTTATATGCTTTATATCTGTCTCTCAACCCATTGAATTTATTCCTCAATTATAGGTTCGTATATTTTTCTTTAGTCAACTTTAGCATCCCTTCTTCTAAATTTTTCCATCCTTCAGTAGAAAATGTGGTGCCTTTCCGATTTCCATTCTTTCTTTCTTCTTCTATCAAAGTTATTAAGATCTATTTATTTTTTTCACTCCATAGAAATTGAGAACTTTGATCCTCGACCACATTATCCCCATCCAAAATTGAATACTTTGATCCATCACTACAACAATTAATACTATGTGAACAATTACTATATACCAAAGTGACTAACACAACTTAATTGAGTACTTTGATCCATCACTACAATAATTAACACACTTCTACAACTTATTAGATCAAAAAAAAAAAAAAAAAAAATGAGCAAACAACCTATCATTGAACATATAATACTATAAAATAATATAAGGAACAAAATCTCTATATTACAGTAACTAAACAACAATAATCTTATGAGGATGCTCATAATTAAAATAATGATAATTAAGTTCATATATTATTAGTTGATATTGACGGGGGAAAAAAAAAAAAAACTCAATCACGGTCCACTTAAATGTAAGTCATGCAACCATCAGTTTTTCTTCAACAATTTTGTGAAATGGCTAAGGTTGTCTACAATTGTCCCTCTCAAGATGATTGATTCTTTTACAGAGTGCTACTTGAATCACAATAAATACATTCAGTTTCTATGGGAAGTCCACACTTACACTATGCGGAACATTAAAATCCAATAGCCGCATTTAGGAACCAACTACCAATTAAAAAACCCAACTTTACACTATGCAAATAATGTTAAACCAAAATAAACGCACCCAATTCAAAGTTGATGGTAAGAAATCCAAAACCAGAACTTCTCAGAGAAATTACACAAAAAAAGAGAGCTTATTCCATAAAATTAGCAACAGGGTATAAATTCCCATAAATAAATTACATAATGCATCCATTATAATCCAACATAACAATTAACCCACGATATCCAACAAAGAGACAATGTAATGAAACAGAATCATGTAAATATTGAAATTTCACGGATCTAAAAAACCACATAGAGGAATATTACTATATATACACATACAACGAATAGCACATTGATGAAAACAAAAGGATCGGGGCCGAAGAGGTCTTTGATTTGAGGGTACTGAGAGAAATTGCTATTTATACACATACAAATATTTCACTCATAAAATGATTTAGGAAGAGAAATTGTAGATTATAGGGCAAAATCTTCATATACGAGGAGAGAGAATCTGAGAAGAAAAATAATCTGAAAAGAGGGAGAATCTGAGAAGAGAGGATGAACTTACAAGTGGTTTTTTTGGTCGGCCATTGAGTCTCCGTTGCCGATCGACGCTCGCAGATAAGGGACGACGATCGCCCTGGTAGAACTTTCTTGAAGCAGATATGAGGCGAGAGACTAGGGCTGCGCGATGATGATATAAACGAGGACGGGTTTTAGGTTTTAAAAAGTTAGCGCTACAATGTTTAGCGTTATAGTGTCGAAATTACTTCCTCCGTACAGTACAGGAAGTAGAGAAAGTGATATTTTCTCACTTTCTTTTCTCTCACAAATTTAGGAATTACTTCCTCAAAATGAAAAAAGTGAAAGTAATTTAATAAACGTGATTTTACTTTTATTTTTGCTTTTTCAGAATTGATAGTAGAAAGTAGGAAATAATTTCTATTACTATAGAGGCCATAAGAAGAACAACGGAAACCACCACATGAGACAAGCATCAATGGGAGTGACACAACGGTCAGGCCATCAGTAAGGCAACCGCTCCAAAGCTCCATCCACAAAGCGCCTCCGACTGGTGGAAAAACCACCCAAACCCTGCATAAGTCGGGGAATACAAAAACTGACATAGATCTCAGATCTAGCCGGAGAAAGAAACACAGATCCACCCAGTCTGGCCGAAAACAAGCCAAACCAAACAAATCCAGCAAAATAATAATAAAAAATGGCGTGAACACCACCCACAGAGCGTACTTACCATTACATGCCGATTTTATTTGGCCTGTGGGAGGCAGGAAACATCGCCTCCCCATTCCCATGAAAGGGAGTAGGGAGAAAAAAGAGAAGACGAAGTGGGAGGCGGCGGCTGAAAGAGGGGGTCAGTGGAGGTTTCCAGAGAGAGAAAAGAGAGTGAACAATTCTTTTGACCATTAAAAAGAGGAGTAATGATACTTTGTTCGATCAAATTAACCTACTCGTAGTCCGAGTCCTACGTGTAATTGCCACTAATTATTGATGTTTTATTTGAGCGCTAAAGATATCAAAAATAAATATAGAAAGAAACTAAAAATGTTTTGACGATCTCTAATTTCGTTCTGCTGCTTCCTTGATTATTTCTCTCTAACTCACGGTTCTCTCTTTTCCACTTAACAAAATTGACAGAAAAATAAAGCATTAAGAAGTCTCTATTGGTTCATAAAATCAAAATGAAAAATACATATATATATGTTTGCTTGAAGAGGAAAAAATGAACCCTAATAAGTAATAAGATTGAAGGTATTTTTTCATATATATATATTTTTTCATTTTCAATATATATTTTGGCTTCTGTATATTGTAATAGTTTTAAGGATTTGATTAGAACAAAAAAAATAATAATAATAAAAACCTCAAAAGTTCATTAAGAAATGTAATGATGAATGGTGAGTTAGAAAGATAAATAATCAAGGGAGCAATGAAGAAGATGAATAGAAAAATTATTTCTATATTTATTTTTGGTATATTTAGTGCCCAAATAATATATCAATTATTTAGGTAATTACGTAGTAGTTACACGTAGGATTCGGAGTAGGAGTAGGCCAATGTGATCGGACAAACTATCATTACTCAAAAAAAAGTCATCACCATTTGCCGTTTTGATTAGGAGTAAAAGAGTCTTTTAGCATTTTCGGCAATGGGAGTTGACCGGAACATCCTTGATTGTAACAAATTAATAGTTCAAAGGGATTTGTTGTAGTCCAGGGAATTTGTTGCAAAACTCTAATGGTTGAAAGGGAATTTTTTACACTTTATCCTAAATAATTTGATCTTCTATTATATTAAGTCTATTTATTTATTTTTAGTTTCGAATATATATATAAATAATTATGAAAATGTTTTTTATAAATAAAATGTCAATTTTTTTTTTCTTTTTAATCAAAAAAAAAAAAAAAAAAAAATAATAACTTACACATATCTGTTTCAATTAGAATTTTAACTAATAATTTGTTTCAATGAGAATTTCAACTCTCGTTTTTCATTATAATAAGTAAAAGTAAAAGAGATACTATGAACTTCATGATAAATCAAGTTGAAGCCAAAATATTTTAATATCTCATTAGAGAATGCACGTGTCTGCCAATTTGATCAGCATTCATTTTTGCCAATGCTTAACACGAACATGAAATAAAAACCACCAACCAACAAAAATGTAAGTCATAGTTGTAAACTAACGTAACAGCCTAACATTAATGTTACACACTGCACGAGTAGGTAACTTTGGTATGAATTGGGATTCCATCAATTCACAAGAAGCCATTAGAGCTCAAACACGATGGCATGTGGACTGTCACATGTCCTATCAATTGGGTTTTTTCATCAATCGAGTAAATTTGTGAATTACACGACTTATTGCAAGAAAAGCTAAATTTGTGATATCATCACAACCATTTATAATTTTGATCGTGATCGTGAACACACATCGACACATGTCACACATCCACTGGCATTATCTAATCAATGTGGGTGAGTTCCAAGGCCCAGCAGGAAGGGCCTGGCCCAAACAAGGGAACAGCAAGGCAAAACCCTATGGGGGATAAGACAGCCCAGAGAAAGGTTCCAACAACAAGGAAGACTGGGCCAGGCCCAAACAAACCCTAGAAATTCAAATCCAGGAGACAAAAAGCCATTAACACCAACCACAACAACACATACATACGGATCAACTAAATTTGTGACAGCAATTGGTGAGGGCTTGTGACTGTATTGTATTCCAATCACAAAGCGTTCACTCTGGGTATTAACGTACATACCTAAATCAATGAATTGAGCTTTGTTTTTGTAATAAAAAAAATGTCACAATCATATTTTTAATACACATAGGGGGTTGTAGAGAAAGCTAATGGAGAGGTCTTTGAGATGCTTGATGACATTTAATGCATAAAGGACGACAGCAACCAAAAAGTAATGATAGTGGGAGTTCTCTTAACGGCATTGCTGAATGGTATGGTATGCCTGAGAAGAAGAACACCACCGACCTAAATATGCCAACTCAGCGTGGAGGTCCGCACCTCAATTTAATGACCGTCGGGGAAGATGGCAGCATGCAAACAAATTAAATGCTTTGGCACCCTACCCAATTCAACTGTTTCAATCAATGCCTCCTATCTCTCTCTCTCTCTACAACCCTCCATCTCCTCACACAAATCATACAACCATGAGTTCTTTATTAATTTGGATCACCATAAATGGGTTTGGTCTCTCACCACCATGCAATTCTCATGCTCTTCTCTTCCCCTTTGTCTCTCTGAAACACTCTTGTGTTTTTCCCTCCAACAATGCCGCTGGCTTTCGGAGTTACTAAAATATTTGTCAATCTTTTGGTGGGTCTTTGAGTTTTGACTAAAAGGAACTCTCCTCAGCTTTGCAGTATCCGACACGTAAAAGGTCGGTATTCTCTGTTTTCTTTTGTTTACTTTGTACTTATTTGTTGGGTAGATGAACAAACTCAGGCGGACATTCCATAGTTAAACATTATTGAAATATTTTTTATTGTGTGGTTTGTGTTTATTTATCCCCAATAAAACTTATATATACCCTTTGTCTGATTTGTTCTTTGTTTATTGAATTTGGGTATAGAAATAGGAAAAGAATATCTGATTGATGGGTATGAAACTCTGAGGGAAGAATCAAATATTAGTTTTGGTTTCGGTTAAAAAATCTACCAATAAAGATTTGGTGGGAAGTGGAAAATTGGGTCTTGAGTGAAGAATTGAGTAGTTTGGGGCTGAGGAGACTTAATTTATATAAAATCAGAGGTGAGTTGTTATCAAAATCTTGTATGGTTAAGGAGATTTGGGCATTGTGAGTTTGGGGTGCAAGATTCATATAAATTTCAGAGGTGGGCTCTTTTCAATTCCAGTGTAGTTGAGAGGAATTGAGCATTAGGAAAACCCTTATCAAAGCACAGGTGGTTGTTTTCAGGGTATATTTTGGTTGAGATAAGTTTTCTGTAGGTAACCAGGGCTTGAAACCTGTGGATACACATCAGGATTTTGGTTCTCTTTTTCTTGGTGTTATTTTGTGGATTACTTGTTGTTGGTTCTAACTGGAAGAAGATGGTTGGAAGTATTGAAGTGATGAGTCATAATTCATACTCGAATGGGGCGATGCAGAACCATAATGGTTTGGAAGAAAAACTTGATGAACTTCGACGTGTTCTTGGTAAGGCTGATGGTGATTTGTTGAGGATTGTTGGTGTTGGGGCCGGAGCTTGGGGCAGTGTGTTTGCAGCATTGCTTCAAGACAGCTATGGTCAATTTCGAGACAAGGTCCAAATCAGGATATGGAGGAGGCCTGGAAGAGCTGTTGATAGAGCTACAGCCGAACATCTCTTTGAAGTCATCAATTCAAGGGAGGATGTATTGAGGAGGTTGATTAGGCGCTGTGCATATTTGAAGTATGTTGAAGCTAGATTGGGTGACCGGACACTCTATGCGGATGAGATATTGAAAGATGGGTTCTGCTTGAATATGATTGATACACCACTTTGTCCGTTGAAGGTTGTGACTAACTTGCAAGAGGCTGTTTGGGATGCCGATATTGTAGTGAATGGCTTGCCTTCAACTGAAACACATGAACTGTTTGAAGAGATCAGCAAATACTGGAAGGAGAGAATCACAGTGCCTGTTATTATTTCTTTGGCAAAGGGTATCGAGGCTGCACTGCAGCCTGTTCCCCATATAATAACACCCACACAAATGATTAACCGGGCAAGTAAGAGTTCCTCCTTTATTATTTAAGGTTCATCTTGTTTTCTACTGCTTTTGGTTTTCTGGTGCTTACAATTTGAATCCAAAATCTGGTATGTCCACAAAAGAAGCTCTTTTATACTTGTTTGCATTTGTGAAGGATGTAAAAATATTGAGAATAGATTATCTCAAGAAGTTTGTTTGAATAACAAAAGAAAAGTATATTAATTCACCAACAGGCCAGTGGCCTAGCGGGTAGCAAGCACCTACTTCCCAAAGGGGGGTTAGGCATTCGAGGCTCAGTGGAGGCATGTGTGCGCGAGTACCAACTAAGAAAAAAAAAAAGTATATTAAGAAAATGAAACAAATCAAGATTAAAAGTGTCAAGAACTTAGCTCCCCAGTTGAATCAGGGTATAATCATTGTTAGGAGGAATGGAAGATTGGGAAGGGATTTACACCTTTTTGTGCAAGAAATTTTGAATTGGTGTGAGAGAAGAAAACAGGAAATATGAATTAGGTTTTTAAAGATTGTTTCAAGGAAAATGGGTTCAATTAAGCAGCAGAATTGGCATGATTATATGGATTAGAATCTTTAATTTTCAATGAATTTTCCGGGGAAACAATTTCTTTTGACTCATCAAAGTGTTTTCATTAATACATGATACATGGAGATTTTATACTTTGGTCAGAAACTGTATAGATTTAGTCTGGAATGAAAAAACTAGGCAGCATGCTGGTCCTGCTAATGCATGATGCTGGGTGGAGTGAATAGTATTATTTACACAAAGTGGTTGCTCTCAGATTTCAAAACGCATTCTCTCATGCTTAGCAGGATGGGCTTCTATAATTGCACCAAGCATTTGCCCTTAGCATCTCTGAAGTTTCTATGAACGCCAATGATGGTGTATGCCCATCTCTTCTGCTTGACCTAATACTGAGCTTTTTTTCCCCTTAAAGTTCAGCCTCACTTGAAAATACATATGTTCAAATCGCTCAACCAAAAACAAGTTGGGATTTTTTAACATCTTCATCATGAGTATGTACCTCCCTTAAGTAAGATTTGATGTAGATATTCAGGTGTTATGCAAAACAAGTCACTGCTGCTTTTTGAAACTTAAATTATTGTCAAATTATTCTACGATCTAGCATTGTTTGGAGTTGATTCAGTTTGAAGTTATTGCTGCTATATTTATGAAGAAAAAAAAAAAGTTACTGCTGCTATTTGAAAATAAAAGAAAATCATGTTTTATTATTCTACCATCTAGCATCATTTGTAATTTGGTTCAGTATCCCACGAAAATGAAGGAACTTAGCTCCCTTGCATTGACAAACAGCATAAGTGGCAATATGACTTTTTCGTGTGTTTTATTTTGATGATGTTGCAAGTCAAGGTTGTTTTGTACAGTGTGAATAATCATAGTTACTGATATCTTATTCCCCCTGTCCCTTCTCTTTAAAATTTGATTTTCTTTCATTTTCCAAGCCTTATTTTATGTTATCCTGGCAGCTGGAGTACCTATAGAGAACATTCTTTATCTTGGTGGCCCAAATATTGCCTCGGAAATTTACAACAAGGAATATGCGAATGCTCGAATATGTGGAGCTGAAAAGTGGAGGGTACCACTTGCAAAGTTTTTGAGGCAGCCCCATTTCATAGTATGGGACAATAGTGACCTTGTCACTCATGAAGTAATGGGTGGATTGAAGAATGTCTATGCTATAGGAGCTGGTAAGTTTTTATTAACTATTTTTTATTATTATTATTTTTTTATGTTCGTTAAGATCTATATAGTTGGTTAAGGGCCACCTCTGGTTGTCAGCAATCACTTTGCTGAACTATTCTGGGTTATGGCATCCGGAATAGGAAGGAAGCAGTGGGAAACTGCAGGAAAATGAAAGAAAAAGTTGTCCCAAGTTTCCTTCATCCTTTTTTTTTTTTCAGTTTCTTATTTTTATTTTATTATTTTTATTAAAAAATACAACCGCAAGGTAGTCTGCTAGACACCGCATTGTTTGTGATAAATACTCAGTGCATTACACGTAATTGGAGATTTGGAGGTACAGAGGAGATGCTGACCATCTAATTGATAATTTACTGCTTTACCGTATAATTGTCCTACATGCATTGCAGTATTTGTAATTGCATGCTTTTAAACTACCTCAAAAGTAAATCACAAAAATAGGCCTATCAAACTAATTAAGAAAAAAAGAAAATTAGAAACCTTGATTCAATTGTTTTACTACAAGTAATTTTTGTTACTGTCATACCATTTTTCTTGCCAAATAGGTTGACGTCATGATTTAGATGTTATGGCACAAGTAAGATCCAAAACATTATGATATGTCATATAGTTTCCAAACATTGCTAAGTAAGATTAAAAACATTATGATATGTTATATAGTTTCCAGACTTTGCTAAGTTATACTTTTAGACCAATTTTTATCAGTATTCAGTTAATGCTACAACTCCCAGAATCTGGAAATTTGAAAGAACATGTAACATGTGCCTTGTAATGCTTATTGCTCAGAAGGCACATTTATATAAGCTTAAGTTTGTGGCTGAAGACACCATTTCAAGATATTTGAAATGGAATGAGGTTATTAAGAATGATTTTAAAAAGTTAAATATAGTAGGTAAATTGGCATGTAATAGAAAAGCTTGGAGAGAGAGAATTTATGTGGCCGACACCATTCATTTAGGATTAAGGCAAGAATGATGATGATTGGTCGGTCATCTAATATGCATAACTCAGCTGTTTTTTATTTAAAAATTAAAAGAAACAATCAACTTTCTGATTGATCCTATTCTTACTTTCTGTTAATATCTTTGTTATAATTTTCTGTAAAAGGTACAAAGGTGAAAGTAACTTACCTTAAGTTGACTTTTATTTATTTATTTAAATGAAGGAAATAAATACTGTTTGCTCTTGGTTATGATAATTGTTTCTAATGTTAGTTCACATATGAACATCACTTGTCCAACCTGCTTATTATATGGTGACTGCTAAAAGTTTTTGGATTAACAGTTTATTGCTCCTTAAATAAAATTAACAGGACAATTTATTGCTCCATAGGACAATTAATTACATTTTTAACAGGTAATTTTTTTTTAACAGGAATTTAGGCACCATGTTAGCAACCATAGGTGCAATTCTCTTGCAATGGTTTTCATATAAAAGTAGCCATTCAGAGGAAACGTTTTTGTTGTGTCTTGATTGCTGTTGTGACTTTTGATTCATGTCACAAGGTAAGGCAGCTAAGGCCATTGACTTTTGCATGATTCTGAAAAGCCAACATTGTCCTTTAGATGATGTGATATTGCAATCTCGTGTTACTAAAGCAGGGGTGTCCATGGTAATGAAAATTTATATTTTCTGTGATATATAAAAATATTGATATGCTTGAGAAGTTTGAATTAAGCTTTCATGAGCATTTAAATATGTTAACTAATTAATATGGTTCAAGAATGTATCTAGTTTCTGACCTGCAATCTGTGTATGTGATTTCCTCAGGAATGGTAGCAGCTCTAACCAATGAAAGTGCTACAAGCAAATCAGTCTATTTTGCACACTGTACATCGGAGATGATATTCATCACTCATTTGTTAGCAGAAGAGCCTGAGAAGCTTGCTGGGCCTCTGCTGGCCGATACTTATGTAACCCTGCTGAAAGGTCGTAATGCATGGTATGGCCAAATGATAGCCAAGGGGGAACTGAGCCTCGATATGGGTGATAGCATCAGCGGCAAGGGGATGATTCAGGTAATCATCCTGATTCTAATACTTGTCTATATCAAACACTCTACCATTAGTCTGTGTGTCAGACCAACAGTGTATTCTATGTTATTTCTGAACACTAGTCTGTGTGTCAGACCAACAGTGTATTCTATCAAACTACTATTACTCTGTGTGTCAGACCAACAGTGTATTCTATGTTATTTCTGAACACTAAGATTTGTTTAGAAGCTTTAAAGAAGAACAATTCTAACACTTGTCAGAATAATTTCTTCTGATTTATAAGGTAATCTATGTCAAAGGGGCAGACAAAGATAGCGTTTGAGCATGAATTTCCAAATATTTTACTTAAAACATTTCAAGTGCCTATGACAACTTCCATGGGAAACAGGGTATAATTGCTTTTCAGGAAATCCCTTCTGACATGGCCATGATGAGCTCTAGTTGCCGTTAGAGATTATTTTTCTTTTAATGTTTCTTCCAGAGAACAATTAATTACATTTTGAACTATTTTTTTTTCCACACAAAGCTACAGAGTCACCAGATTATAATGCTAAAGCGAGAGTGCCAGAGTGCAATTTCTTGAAAATTGTATGGTCCTGAGGGCCTCCATGGAAGCTGTATATATTTACTGACATACATGCATGAAAAATGTATATATATTTATGCACGATTTATGATGATAATCAAAATACAATGCTTGATGCTTGAATAAAAGCATTTTTTGTTCTGGTATTCTGGAGGGGAGTGAAATTTTTTGGTGTGATTCAGTTGTCATCTGCTAAAAGGCAAGAGGAATGGATGGTCTAATTAGGATCTGTTCTTTAGCTAATCTTTTTCTGAAAACTAATTCTTAGCTATGCCTTCTGTTTCCAGGGAGTCTCTGCAGTGGGGGCCTTTTATGAACTTTTGAGGCAGTCAAGTTTAAGTGTATTGCATCCTGGAGTAAACAAGCCTGTTGCTCCAGTTGAGCTGTGCCCCATTCTGAAGATATTATATAAAATACTGATAACAAGGTAATTTTTTTATTATCATCATTTCCATCAATTTAATATAATAATAGATAACATTTACTTTTGATACATTGATCCCTGTTTTGTCCGAGATTTGTAAATCAACACATCATAGTAGATTATCACAGTAGATCATGCATATGGACATCTGGGCCTCTTGAGGTAAGAGAATAAACAAGTAACAATCTGTGGAGCCTTATGTGTGGCGAATGTGTGAGCTTTCTTATTGCATAATCCTGGTCATTTTTTCACTGAAATAATTCGGTCAAGATTTATCTCTCATAAGTATGCTTATTACTACTCTCTCCGTCCCAATATAAGTCACTTATGGGGAGTAGTAATTTTTTAGGAGACATGTGGGACCATGTATTGTCTGCTTGAAAAATTACTAAGTTGCCCTTTTAAGTTTTGAATATTGAAGTTTGAAATTTAAACTCAAAGGACATTTTTGGAATGATGTGAAATATATTGTTTGAAAAAGGAAAGTGGACACTTATTTTGGGACAGACAAAAATGGAAAGCATGACACTTATTTTGGGACGGATGGAGTATTATTTAAAAAAAAAAAACGGAGTCCCTTGCCAAAACAAATGATAATTTTTAAAATATAAGATTCTAATTCTCTACTTTCAATATGTTCTGGAACTTCAGGGAACAACAAACACAGGCAATTCTTCAAGCACTGAGGGATGAAACCTTGAATGATCCTCGCGATCGCATTGAGATTGCACAAACCCATGCTTTCTACAGGCCTTCACTTCTTGGGCAACCTTGATACTCGTCATTGCAAAGGAATGGCATAGTGAAGGAACTGATAACTAAACTATATATGCTTGATGCATATATTGGAAGAATCACTTGGTGAGCTCATGTACTGTTTTTGTAATGTATTATGAATTGCATCTATTCAATCAAATTCAGTCAATTGTTTGGATTTGCAAATGTTAATTTCATATTTTATGTTGACCCTTCAAGCCGCCTTGCTTCTGTGCCATGTCCAAGCTGAACCTGTAATGCATGTCGCAACCTTAACCAAGCTTGATTTGTTCTGTTACCAAACATAGATGGGCTCGAACACCCGAAGAGTTTGACAGTTTATTCTATGAGAAATGACCATGGAATGCCAAAACATGGTTATTCTATGACAAATGACAGTTTGTGTGGTGGCAATTGTCAATTTAACTTGGAGCTTTTACGAGAACACTAGAATTATTTCTGCGACTTGCCAGGTGCAATGCAGGACTTGCTTTTTATAGTTTTTGCTTTTACAAAGTAAGTTGTACACGATGCTTAGTTCTAACTACCTATATAAGGTAGTTTGTACACAATTCATATACATGAAGAAAAAAAAAAACCCAATTATTACTGAATTTTCACCCACTTACCAGAACTTGGTACGCCTGCATGGACCAAAAACATGAGATAGTAACCCGGTGGTGCAATCTCAGGTGTTGATGGCCCAACAGCAGTTAACCTATATGCATCCGACGCAACATGCAAAACCTCAAGCACCTTCAGCACCACCATTCTTTGATTCATCGCCAGTGCATGCGTTGTAAATGACGGTGCAATGATATTAACAGATACAACACCCAGCTTCAAAAATTCTAGCACTGTGAAAGTAACTGAAAATGATTCTTGATACCCCAACATCTCATCCACATACATAATCCTTGGTCGCATCGGTAGGTACTCTGCCGCCAAGTAGGGTGGCGAAAAGGCTTCCAAGCTGAGATCAGTTGGGTACACAACGCCAGTGAAGTTGTAGTAAACATGTGGGTTGCTTCCACCCACTAAAATCCGCCCATCAGTTAGCAACACTGCCGTTGAATGGTACAACCTTGGCCTCGTCGACGAGCTCATGACTGAGAACCTGCCGTCATCTGCTCCTCCCTTGGGATGATAAATCACCGGTCTCATGACCGGGTTTTGCCCATTCTCCCAACCTGCTGCACCTGTTGAAGGATATAAATATTAAAGTTTCACCATTATTAACATTAAGTAGTTAAGTAAAAGCTTAAACTCTTTAATTGTTAGAGTAAATGATGGCTAACAACAATACCTGCTCCTGCACCGTTGATTATAATGACATCGCCCGTAGGAAGAAGTAGCATGTCGCTCATCAATCGGGCCATCGGCATATTCTCCATGGCCCAATTAGGGTTTTCATCACTGACCTTCAGACGTCCGCATGTAGAAATGGCGCGCACGAAGGTCCCGCTCACTGCACTTAAATATGCACCACGTGGTGCGCCACCGCATACCATGACCTCAACTTCAACTCCCACTGCATCTTCATCACTGTCATCATTCAAAGGTAGCAAGACTGATGAGCCAGTGCAGGGATAGTTACGAGGATCATCACCAGGGATTGATGGAAACTCTCTCACCACACGGTTTTGCTTGTAGTCAAAAGATATGGATCGTGTGTTTGCAAAAATAAATAAGTTTCCATCTGGCAATAGATGTACAAATGGATACAAGTTATTCTCTTCATCGTCACTAGTCTCTCTAAGGAAATTAAGCCAGATTGTCGAATCTTGGTTTCGAGGATAGAACTCAAAATTGAACTGTCTTCTTCCACCAACGATGATAATTCGACCATCCGGTAATATTTGATTTGTTGCATACCATCTACGCTCTAATAAATAATTGGGAAATTCGACCCAGTCACAGTTGATCATGATAAAGCAAGGGACTAGGGTGCGCACAACACGGTCACCATCATTGTAGCCACCTGTTTGAACTAGGGTTCCATTGGGGAGGACAGCGCCGGATGAGCACCAAGTATCGGTTTGTAGCATTAAGGGGTGGAATGTGTTGGTGGCAATGTCATATAGTATTGAGTGAGCTGTGCAGTCTGTTTGGATTGCAGTGTCAAACGGGTCATATCGGCAGCGACGACCGGGGAGAGAGAGGTTAGAAGGGCCGAAATCAGTCCTATCAAATATGACGACTTTGTTGTTGCGGAGGAGTTGCATGTGCATGGCGGATATGCCCACACTGCGATGCAAGAGATGCCATTCACCTTGAAGATCAGAATATTGCAACATGAATGAAGTTTTTCGACATAGCACCAGATGAGAGAGATTAATAATTAAGAATAAGAAGGTGAAGATGACTAATAGTTTGATGATGAGTACTGCCATGGTGGTGGGTAGATAATTAAGAGGCAAAGGGTAGAAGAAAGTTATTGGTGACGAGAGAGATGTAGAGAGAGAGTTGGTGCAGTGAGGTTAATTGATGGAAAATCGAAGGATTCATATATATATTAAATGTGATGTGCATGTATTGTTATATAAAATTATAAATTAGTTATGATCATAAACAAATCAAAGGTGTAACAACTAGCAGTTTTCGATCATGTAAAGATACAAGAGGTCAGAGTGACCAGATTATAAGGGTACGTACGTTAATTCAAGAATTGAATATATAAAAGCTTAAAGGAAATGATGACACACAAATTAAACATGTCACTTTGGCAGCAGAAATTAATGGGGACTCATTTCCGTGAGGGTTAATATTTTGAAGATTAAGGCATGCAGTGCGGTGGCACAGTTCACTCCAACTATATTGATATTGTTTCGGTTCATGCCAGCAAACTTCTTGTTAGTAGTTTTGCCTAAGCTGTTGTGTGTACACAATGAGTGCTAGCATTCTTAGTATTATTAGTATATTACTAATAAATAGTAATAATATGCATAATTAATAGGGTTAAAAAAAAAAAAAACCTATTTACTTTCAAAAAACATCAGTTAAATTAAAAAAACTCCCTAAACTAATAAAACTTATCAAGTTAACCCCAAACTCGTGATCGACCTGTTAAATGAGTTGGGAAATGTTAATTTGACCTTGTTATTAAATATTAACTTAAAAACTATAATTATTGTTTTAAAAATTTACAAAAGTATTAATTAAAAGCTATTAAATCAAATTTGACTTTTAAAGTTTTTGGGAAGAAGACATGGGTATTTTTATAATTTTAAAATAATAATTTTAGTCTTTAATTTAACGGTAAATTGCATTGACATTCCTGAGGTTTCGGTCAATGTCACTCAGATGCAGGTCAACGATTTTTTATCAATGGCACCCCTGTGGTTTCAAATGTCATATTTGCCTTGATTATTTAATTCAATTAATTTTAAAAATATCAGCCCTGTTAATTTATGAAAGTACCCTCATCATTAAGCCTCGTTCTCTACCCTAATTTCTAACTCTTTTGTTTTTTTTTTGGGTTAATTTTAGTACCTAACTGTCGACATTCCCTCTCTCCTTTATTCCCCTCTTTCTTACTATGTTATTTTTTTTTTGGGTAAATTGCACCTCTCGTCATTCTTCTAGTTGATAGAGGAGTTATGGCTGGCCAATGGAGGGAAAATAACTGGCGGTGGAGGAGATGGAGGCTAGGGCGCAAGTTAATTTGCAGAATTTGGGTGAAAATTGTTGCGGTGTGGTGGTGTTGGATTTATGATTGAGATAAGTAAGGGAAGAAAAGTGGGTGTGAGAGGAGAGAATATAATTGGTGGGACTAGTGAGATAAAAATAGTCATTGCTGTTTTTATTTTTATTTTTTTCCCATTCTATTGTGGTGGTGGCTGCTAGGTTGGACATGACGTTTTTTCTTCTTCTTCCAATTATGGTGGGTCTAGGTTGGCCAAGGTTGTTTTTTAATTTTTTTTCTTTCTACTCTGGCGGTAGTTGTTGTGGTGTTATTTGGGTGTGGTTGTGGTGGTTATGGTGGTGTCTAGGTCATCAGGGTGTTTCAAAATTTTTATTTTTTATTTTTTCTATTGTGGTGGTGGTGGTGGTTCTGGTAGCTAGCGTCTAGGTGTGGTGGTGTTGTCTTGGTGTGGTGGTGGTATTTTGGTGTACGTGGTGGTGGTTCTGGTAGTGTTTGATACGTATAAGTTTAGGTTAGCCATAACTATTTTCAATTTTTTATTTCTTATTTTTTATTTTTAACCGTAGTGTTTAGGTGTGGTGGTGGTGGTTATGGTGGTGGGCAATTATCTTGCTATTTAAAAGACAAAATTATTATTATTTTCTTTATATATATATATAGAATAGATGAAGATGTTAGTTTGATCCATTAAATTTAATTAAATTTGTAATTTCATGATTTAAATAAAGTTGTTGACAAGTAAAAGGGTTAAAATGTAATTTCATTTACTTCCAAAGGTTTGGAGGAGGTGTCAATGCACATTTTTGAAACCTCAGGGTGTCAATGTAAAAAAAGTCATTAATTGTTCATTGAGTAACATTGATCAAAATCTTAAGAGTTGTCAATGCAATTTACCCTAATTTAATATTAAGTAGTAAGGTCAAATTTGATATTTCACAACTCATTTAACAGGTGTGTCGCGAATTTAGGGGCAACTTAATAAGTTTTGTCAGTTCAAGAGATTTTTTTAATTTTACTAAGATTTTAAAAGTAAAAGTATTTTTTATGATTTGAACCCTAATTAATATACAAGCTTAATTGGACATTTTCATGGAATTAAGAATAAGAAAACCTACAAAAAGAGGTGTAATACTCTAGAATTTAAATGACCTACTACATATGTTTATATATTTTTGACCTGATATTTTTTAAGGCAACGGGTCAAGTGATTTACCTACTTGAACCAACCCTAGAAATTCTATCTATATTTATAATTTTTTTTAAAATGTACAATTATCTGTTTTTTGATTCGTTGAATTTTAGCATATTACATGAATATTCAATTTATTTATTTATTTATTTATTTTTTATACCATCATATTTTATTTTACTGAAATTAAAGAAATTGAGGCTGTTCTCAATCAAATAAATTCAGCCATGAAATTAAAAAATCTGATTAGTTCTCAAGAAACTAAAGTCCAAATTCCATTTTAAATAATTTTGAGGAATTAGAACGTGAATACATGAAAAAAAAAAAATTGTGGATACAAATACAAAACTATAATTTTTATTTTTATTTTTGGGTGATTTAAAGAAAAACAATAATTTATTATTATTATTATTTTAATGCCCACTCTCGAATATCCTCGATGGAATCCCATATTTGCCCATGCATAGTCATCAGACCTATCTCAAAATCAAGGGTATTTTGGTAAACTAGATATCATCCCTCCCTGTGTAAAAAGTACGGCGTCCCCGTTCTAAGTGTTTTTCTCATAAGACAGCTCTTGAGTACGCGTTTGTGTACTGGTAATAGCTTTCGGCAGTTGTATTCTAGGGCATCCAAAATGTCGAATCCAAACAGCTTTCAAGAAGCCTTGAAACCCTTTTACGAAAGAGCAGCTTAGATAAACCACAAACTCATTTCAAATTATTTATCTATTTAATGTATTTATTTGTGTATGTATGATTATTTATTTATTTTTGTCTCTGTTAAATATCTTTCTCTGATTCTTTGTATCACCATTTCAACTGTGAGCAATGTTTAAAAAATATGAGGGTCTATGGTTTCTTTCTAGTTTTCAAGAATCCAGTTCTTTTATTTATTAGAATTTCATTTTCTTTAAATTCTTTCTTTTTCTTTTCCAATTTTGTTTGTGGAAGAATTTACGGTCAGTTTGGTGCAATGGAAAGGGAGGAAATGGAAGGGAAGGTGATGAGGGGGATTACAAATTTGTGTTTGGCAAAAATTGTTGAAATGAAAAGAAAGGAAAGGGTTTGGAAAGTTAACACAAGGCCTGAACAGCGAAGGAAAGTGAAAAGGAAAAGTGTTTTGCTTATCCTCCCAAAAATGGGAGGAAAAAGAAGGAAAGTGAAAGGGAAGGTTGATTTATTATTTATGATGCCTAATTTGCCTTCAAGATTACATATACATACAGGTTAGCAGTTGCAGAGAGAGTGAGAGACGGCGGGCCAGCGGTTGAAGCTTGTGAACGGCGAGCCCGAACTGGAACAGCGGCGATGGAAACTGAAAGATATGGGTTTTGATTTTTGATTCTTGCAGACAGATAGATAAATTGAAAGATATGGGTTTTGAACTTCTGATTCTTGTAGTGCGCAGAGAGAGAGAGAGAGAGCAAGTTTAGAGTTGAGAATGAGATTAGAGATGGAGGCGAGATTGGGGAGGCTGAAATGATTTAGAGATAGAGAGAGAAAGAGATATAAAAGAGATGGAGAGGTGTATCGATATCCAGAGAGAGTAATTAGAGTCTGTGCTCTGAGTTCAACATTTGATTTTTCTTGTTGAAGCTATCCAATACGGAGTCAATGTTACATACATCGACTCCCTCGGCTATATCCAAAACCCTGTCTTTTCTTTTGGCCCATCATGGCCTGGTATAGGAGGAGACCGTATATATAAATTTATCTTTTAAAATATAAAAGGGTATAATGGTTAATTTATTAAAATAATTCTCTTTCTTTTCTTTCCCCTTCTTTTTCTTGATTATTGTCCTTTCCTTTCTTTTCCCTCATTAATCAACCAAACATAATACCAAATTAAAATTATTCTTTTCTTCCCTTTCCACCCTTCCCTTTCTCTCATAATTAAAGTTATCATTCCCCTTCAAACCAACTCTACCAAACGTAGCCTAGATAATTGCTTCGGGTTTTGTGAATTATATATTTCTAGTCCATTTTCTTTGAATTATAGATGATGATGTCTATGAATATGCACATAATTTATGTTTTCCTTTATCTGATAATCAATAATTCACATGTCTAGGGTTTCTTCCCAATTTAGATGAATTTAGGTTTTTCTTTGGATTCTGTTTCCTCGTATGCCTTGTGTTGGTAATTGTGTGTCAAATGACTGTGTGATTAATTCTCCACATAGAGTTGCTTCGTTCTTTTGGTTCAAGAAATTATGTTTCTTTTTATTTTAACCTGGATTGTAAGGAAGTGTAATCCTTGCCCAATTAAATAGCAACTCGAATCTGATTTTAAATTGGGTTATTCCTTTTTAACCTACTTGGGTTATTAGCTGAGACTCATTAAAAAGATGCAGTCTCCTGAGAATTTAATGGCGATCTCATTTCCGTGAGGGTTAATATTTTGAAGATTGGGGCATCCAGTGTAGTGGCGCACAGTTCACTCCAACTAGTGATATTGTTTGGGTTCGTGCCAGCAAACTTCTTGTTACTACTAGTAGTTTTGCCTAGCTGTTGTGTGTACAACATGAGTGCTAGCATTCTTAGTATTATTATATTACTAAGTAATAATATGCATAATTAATATGGTTAAAATCACAAAAAAAAAAAAAAAAAAAACCTCTACTTTAAAAACCGTGCATAAAACACCAATTAAATTAAAAAAACTCCATAAACTAATAAAACTTATCAAGTTACCCCTAAGCTCATGCCTGGCCCGTTAAATGGATTGTAAAATGTCAAATTTGACCTTGTTATTTAATATTAAATTAAAAGTTATAATTATTATTTTAAAAGTTTACAAAAATATTAATTAAAAGCTATTAAATCAAATTTGATTTTCAGGGTCTTTAGGAAGAAGATGGGTATTTTTACAATTTTAAAATAATAATTATTGTCTTTAATTTAAGGGTAAATTGTATTGACACCACGTGAGGTTTCGGTCAATGTCACTCGAATGCGGGTCAACGGCTTTTTTTAACAATGCCACCTCCGTGGTATCAAATGTCATATTTTCCCTGATTATTTAATTCAATTAATTTACGAAACTACCCTAATCTCTAAGTTTTTTTTTTGGTTAATTTTAGTACCTAGCAGCCGACATTTCTTCTCTCCCTTCTCAATCTTTCTTGTTCCCCTCTTTCTTACTATGTTATTTTTTCTTTTTGAGTAAATTGTACCCCTCGTCATTCTTCTTGCTAGTAGATGAGCTATCGGTGGCCAATGGAAGGAAACGTAACTGGCGGTGGAGGAGATGGCGGCTAGGGCGCAAGTTAATTTGCAGATTTGGGTGAAAAATGCTGCAGTGTAGTGGTGTTGGATTTGTGATTGAGATGAGGCTAAAAACTAAGATGGCAGTAAAGTCAAGCCAGAAAAGACATACAAGGCGCTCCGACACACAAGAAACCCCGCACAAGAAAACAAATAAATGAAGAACATATTTCAGATTTGTGGAGGACATAGAGCCGAACACTCTGCAAACGGAACCACCATGGGAGAACACAGCAAACCGGAGAGATTGAAAGGTCTGGCCATCAACACGGCAACCGCTCCAAAGTTACAATTACAAGGCGCTCCAACACACAAGAAACCCCGCATAAGATCAAATCAAGGGAGGAAAAACCAAAACCGACCTAGACCAGAGATTTAGTTGGAGGAAACAATAGATCCGCTCATGTGATTCAAAAACGAACCGAATATGAACAGATCTAGTCGAAGAAAAACAAAAACGACATAAAAAAAATACCCACGGAGCGCACTTATTGAAACACACCGAATTTATTGCAGTCGTTGGAGACGGCCATCATCTCCCCACTCCTATAAAAGGGAGCAGGAGACAGAGTGATGAAGAAGACGAGAGAGTTAGAGAGAGAAAGTTAGAGAGAGGTGGGAGAGAAAGTTAGGGCCGGGAGACTTGCACTTCCCAGGCTAAGTGTACTCACTTGAGCCAACTCTTAAAATCTATCTCTTTTTAGATTCAATAAATTTTAGCATATTACGTGAATATTCAATTTTTATTTTTATTTTTTATCTATTTGTTTTACCCTCTTATTTTATTTTACTGAAATTAAAGAAATTCAGGCTGTTCTGAATCAAATACATTCAGCCATGAAATTAAAAAATCTGATTAGTTCTCAAGAAACTAAAATTACTTGTCCAAATTCCATTTTAAATAATTTTGAGGAATTAGAACGTGAAAAAATAAAAAATAAAAAAAATTTGTGGTTACAAATACAAAACTATAATTTTTATTTTTATTTTTGGGTGATTAAAAGAAAAACAATAATTTATTATTATTATTATTTTTAATGCCCGCTCTTGAATATCCTCGATGGAATTCCATATTTGCCCATACGTAGTCATCAGACATATCTCAAAATCAAGGGTATTTTGGTAAACTAAATATCATCCCTCCCCTCTATAAAAAATACGGCGTCCGGGTCTCAAGTTGTTTTTTCTCAGAAGACAGCTGCGTTTGTGTTCTAGTAATACCTTTCGGCAGTTGTATTTTAGGGCATCCAAAATGTCGAATCCAAACAGCTCACAAGAAGCCTTGAAACCCTTTTACGAAAGAGCTTCTGAAGCAGAGGTTAGATAAACCACAATCTCATTTCAAATTATATATATATTTATTTGTGTATGTGTGATTATTTATTTATTTATTTATTTTTGTTGTCTCTGTTAAATATGTTTCTCTATTTGATGTTTAAATAATATGAGGGTCTATTGCTTCTTTCTAGTTTTCAAGAATCCAGTTCTTTTATTTATTAGAATTTCAATTTCTTTGAATTCTTTCTTTTTCTTTTCCAATTTTGTTTGTGGAAGAATATAGATAACTGCTTCGGGTTTTGTGAGTTATATATTTCGAGTCCATTTTCTTTGAATTATAGATGATGATGTCTATGATTATGAATATGCACAAAATGTATGTTTTCCTTTTTATAATAACTGTAACTGTATCTGATAATCAATAATTCACATGTCTAGGGTTTCTTTCCAATTTAGATGAATTTAAGTTTTTCTTTGGATTCTGGTTCCTCGGTATGCCTTGTGTTGGTAATTATGTCTCAAATGACTGACTAATTTTCTATATAGAGTTGCTTCGTTCTTTTGGTTCACGTAATTATATTTCTTTTCTTTTAACGTGGATTGTAAGGAATTGTAATCCTTGCCCAATTAAATTTGATTTTAAATTGGGTTATTCGTTTTTAACCTACTTGGGTTATTAGTTGAGACTCATAAAAAAGATGCAGTCTCATGAGAGAGAGAAGGCTTGCAATACGGGACTGTAAGGCTTTCAAAGTTTATAGCACTGGGTTTATAGGGATTTGAGGGATAGACAGAGACGGAAGAATAATTGTAATGTGATTCATTATTGTAAGAATAGTTTGATTTTCATTCTATGAACAAAAAAATTATAATATGGTGTATTTCTTTATCCAAAAAGAAAAAAAATAAATTATACTATTTTAGTATTATCCTTATTTTTTGGTTTTTTAAACAGTCATTATATTCTCTAAATATGGTCGAGATGAAACTAATGATGATCGAAAATCCGGACACTCCAAAACACATTTAAAGAGACACATGTCCACAAAATTACAAATACAAAAGTACGTACAATCATATAATCTTCAAGTGGTAAGTTTACTAGTTTATACTACTGTCGCCAAAATTTTGCTAACTAGCCTATATTTGAAATGAAGGATCGGTTGGCAAGACTTGAAGCTGTCCTTGCTAGTGAGAAAGGTAGGTTTCCATTCAATCTATTCAAATTACTCTTTAAGGTTTCTTATATTTTCTCTTCCTCATGTGTTCCATTTTTGGGTGGCGGGTGGGGCTTTAGATGCTGAAAATGAGGAACTATTGAAGATGGTTAGTGCGCTCCAATCAAAGTTAGAAGAGGCAAAAGCTGAGCAAAATTTAGAAAGAGAAAAGGTGGGTTGTGTTTGAAGTTCCTTACCTATTTTGGTTAGAAAATTATGTCGTAACAATTTTATTGCTTATAACTTCAGGCTCAGAAGCTTGCTGCAGAAAATGGAAAACTCCAATATCGGATAACCCATCTTGTCCGGGCATTGGAGGAAGCTGATAGTGATTGCAAATTGGAAGAATTGGAAGGTAGACTTATTTTCTTAACCTTTTTTTTTTTTTTTTTTTTTGACGAGATTATTAAAAAAATCCTTCTATTTTTTCTTCTTCTATTCATTATCAAGAGGAAATATTTTTAGTTACAAAGGCATCCTGCCTACTCTCCAGAATATTCTACATATTCACAACTCTACAAAACTCCCAAATCTTCTAAAATTTGCTCTACTCCCTACTAAAATCTACCACCTCTCCAACATTCTAGAACTTTCCCACTCTCCCTACAATATTGCGCATCAATCTGGAAGACCCTAGAACTCATTCTAATCCTTTCATGCAGACGCAATTCAGAGTCCTCCTCAGCGCTTGCATGGCGTTACGTCTTAGGTGGGCCGAGACGCTACTAGGTTCCAAAAAAAGCCCCTGGCTCGTTGAGGCTCAGTTACAACGCCTCGACCTAGTAAGGCCAGTCCCCTTTAGTCAACAAGCTCACATAAAGTGCTCAGGCTGACACTTTTTAGTAGTTTGTAGGCTAAAAAAAGTGCGTCTTTTAATTTTTAATCATTTATTCATATCATTTTCTTTTTTGTTTAATGGCTATTAAATTAAAAGGTTCTACGTCATATCATAATCATATTTTATGGATCATATTGTTTAACCTTGTGAAATATTTGGCAAAATCCATAAATTTATGCTTCACTACTTAACATTACTTTCTCATAATGCTCTATTGTGAAATACTTGTCATTTTAGATTATGTTGTATTTTTATGTTACCTTGTCATCTGTAATTGATATTGTTCAAGTTGTGAAACTACACAGAACTTAGAGTTTCTGTTGCCAAACGCCTTCTTAAGAGCGTATGCATTGTATTAACAGAGTGTGTTTCATTTACTTTTCTTCTTGTAATGTTGGCATCTAAATAATTGTATCACAGTGATATGAGTGGCCGATAGATTGTAATTCAATGGGGAAATCGTCATCATTTTTGCTCATATGGTCCCACGTTAGTGTATTAGTTACTCATCAAATTGTTGATTTGCATGGTAGAAAGTCTATTCATTGAATCCACAAATGAATATGGAACTTGGAATTAAGGTAATAAGAGTGTTAGGAAATTCAATTATGGTAATTGGAAAATGAAAAAGCTTTTGGGATTAAAAAGGATTGAAATGGGAGCACACGTGGGATCATAACCATTTTTTCTAAAGAGAGATGCCCTAGGGGTTGGGAAAAGGACTTTACTTGGGTTTTCAGAATTTTCTTATCAGCTCTTCTGACAAAGTACAAAATTGATTTGTTAGTTTTTCTCTAAGATTGCATGCATATATGTCAAGTGGAAAATTTCATACTAGGAAGGGAATAACAGAAAGCATCAATCAGTGGTGATTGGACTGCATATCTTTCCTGCATCTTCTTCTTCATCTTTTAACAAGTGCAAACACACCCACCCATGTCCTAACCTTATGGGGTGCCAGGAGATGCTATTCAAGCTATAAGAAAGTTGATAGTGTGTCATGTCATACACTATCTGATCCCAGTGTCAACATAATTACCCCATGCAGTGTTATTTTTAATTCAGCTGGTACAGAATTTTCAATGTTATTTTATTCAGGTCCAGAAGAATTTTTTTGGAGAGATCCAAGCCACTAACGGAGATATTTTTGCCATATAAGAAACAATATTCATTCATCAGCTTCAGCCTGGTAACTGGAGCTAGTACATAGTTTCTAATGCCTAGTTAAGAACATTCAGCCTTAAGGGTCTGTTTGGTTATATGGAAAAGTTAGGTGGTTTGGAAAGTTACTTTCCACAAAATTTTCAGTTTCTTGTTATCCAAACTTATAAAAAGTTTAAGAAATATTATTTTCTTTTCTGTTCCAACTATTTCCATGATTCCATCTAACCAAACTAAGCCTAAAGGTAAGGATATTTTGGCAACACTCACTATGTGAATAATTGATTTATTTCAATATAAATCTAGTTACAGAACATGTTGTGAACGATTGTGTCGTGAATGTTTTATGGGTTTGTTCTTTTTTTTGTCTCTGTGAAGCCCTTTATTATCAAATTTTAGTATTGGTTAAAGCTGACTATGCGGCATGCTGTTCCTTTGATTTCCTCAGGTCATTCTTGAAGCAACCACACCTTCTTGAAGCTGGACGACTTAATTTCACTGATAACTTGGGCTTACTCTATTGCAAATTTCTGTAGTATCAAGTGTTTAACATATCCTTCTGTCTTGGTAGAACTGTGGAAGTGGTTTATTATCTGCTAAGTGTTGCCCTCCTTGCTATATAATGAAGGCAATATAAGTATACAGCTAAACTGAAACAGCATTTTGGCTTGGGATTCGTGGAAATGAAATTATCCGTTTTACACTTTGAATTACTCAATATGGATTTTGTTTCTAGCTCGAAGGTTTTCTTGAACTAGAAGGTGACATACTTTGGGTGGTATATATCGAATGAGTTCTATTGGCTTTAACTGAATTTCAATTCTCTTTTCTTTTTGATTTATTTATTTTGTGCTTCTTGTGGTTTTAACGGAGCGGTGAAATTTGTTTTCAGTTGCGTTCATTTGGCTCTCTTTTTCTTTATCAAAACCCAGTTGGCATGGCATCTGGGTTGCTTTGGCAACTGTTTTGGCCGTTGGTTTTGAACAAAATCTGTTCTTACACGTTTGGACCCACTGGGTTGCTGAAGGAGATGGCTGTCTTGACATTGGAAACCTTAATTTTAAACAGCAAGAACTTCAATCTATGCACATAGCAAAAGAAGACAGTGACAACCATAGATGCATACGCGGACACCCACCCAACGAGGAGTTCCCATGTCAATGTACAGATAACAGACCATAAGTGGCTTCACCGATTATAATTAGAAATGGTTGGGATTCATTGATGGCATATCCTAAAGAAACTTCTTTTGCAAATTGTTCCGCTTAATTCGGCCCCATATCTTTAATTCAGTTTCTCTCCTGATTCAAATGTCCAAATTTATTAATCTAAATGTCGTAATCCATTACGTGGTTATAACCTCCTTGCTTGTTTATGTAACTAGAACTAAATAAGTATTCCGTAAAAAAAAAAAAAAATGCTAGTCAAATCATTATACGCGCGCGAACACACACATATATACTAGGAACACGTGTTGAATGTTTTGTAGATAATGTGATAGAATTTTATAGAAAATAAAACAGCCAATTTGTGGTAGATTTTATAAAAATTATTTTATTTTCCTTTAAATATATTATTATTTAATTGTATTTTTTTTATTAAAAAAAATCATAATAAATAGATAAATAGGTAATACGTGTTAGAATTTTATAAAAACTATTTTAAAAACTCTTTTTATATCAATTAATAAATATTTTTTTATATTAATAATTCTTGTCTAATTAGATTTCAATAAATAAATAAATAGGTAATTTGTGTTAAAGTTTTATAAAAACCTCTTTTTATATTAATTAATAAATAATTTTTTATATGAACAATACTTGTCTAATTAGATTTCCTTTTATTAAAAAACTCCAAATAAATAGATAAATAGGTAATTTGTATTAGAGTTTTAATAGAAAATCTTAAAATATATCTTTGTCTAATGTATTATAATTTTATTAAAAATAAAATAGTTAATTTGTGGTAGAGTTTTTCTAGTAATTAGATTTTCTTTTATTAAAAAACTTATAATAAATAAATAGCTAATTTGTGTTAGAGTTTAATAGAAACTCTTTTAAAAATTCTTTTTATATCAATTACTAAATAGTTTTAAATTTTAATAATTCTTGTCGAATTAGATTAGCTTTTATAAAAAAAAACTCATCATAAAAGGTCGTTTGTGATAGAGTTTTAGAAAAATTATTTTATTTTTTATATCAATTAAAAAATATTTTTTATATTAATAATTCTTGTCTAATTAGAATTTATTTTATTAAAAAACTTATAATAAATAAATAAATAAGTAATTTGTGTTAGAGTTGAATATAAAATCTTTTAAAAATTCTTTTTATATCAATTAATAAATATTTTTATTTTAATAATTCTTGTCTAGTTAGATTTATTTTTATTAAAAAATTCATAATAAATAGATAAATTGGTAATTTGTGTTAGAGTTTTTTTTATAGAAACTCGTTTCAACCTCTTTTTATATCAATTAATAAATAATTTTTTATATTAGTAATACTTGTTTAATTAAATTTTCTTTTATTAAAAAACTCACAATAAATAGATAAATAGGTAATTTGTGGTAGAGTTTTATAGAAACTCTTTATTATGTAGATTTTAGTGTTTATATATTTTTTATATAAATAAATAAATACTGAAACTCTTTGCACATCTAATAATAGTATAGATAAAAACTCTTTTTAATGAATACGAAAACTCTTTGGCAGAGCTTCTGTATTTTACTCTGTAATTCTAGATTTTTAGAATTCTCAATTTCTGTATCCCTTCCTCCATGTCTCTATTTATAGGCTTTTTGGATTAATAGGATTATGACATGTGTCCTTTTCTAATAATGACATAATCATAACAGGCAGGCCGGTTATATTGAGATAATTATTCATAAAAAATAACTATTCTTATTATATTGAACTAAAAATAAGAGTTTTATATAGAATGTGATTGATATTATTAGGTAATTTTGTAATTAATAAATATTTTTTATTTTAATAATTCTTGTCTAATTAGATTTACTTTTATTAAAAAAACTCATAATAAATAGATAAATAGGTAATTTGTGTTAGAGTTGTATAGAAACTCTTTTAAAACCTCTTTTTATATCAATTAATAAATAATTTTTAATATTAATAATACTCGTCTAATTAGATTTCCTTTTATTAAAAAACTCATAATAAATAGATAAATAGGTAATTTGTTTTAGGGTTTTATATAAACTTTTTAAATATATATTTGTCTAGTGTGATAGAGTTTGATTGAAAATAAAATAGGTTATTTGTGATAGAGTTTTTTAGAAATTATTTTATTTTCTTTAAATATATCCTTCTAATTAGATTTAATTTTATTAAGAAACTCATAATAAAAGCTAATTTGTGGTAAAGTTTTAGAAAAATTATTTTGTTTTATATATCAATTAATAAATATTTTTTTATATTAATAACTATTGTCTAATTAGATTTTCTTTTATTAAAAAATTCATAATAATAAATAGACAAATAGGTTAGTTTAAATTTCATTATTTAGATTTTAGTTTTTTAAATATTTTATATATATAAATAAATAAATACTTAAATACTGAAACTCTTTACACATCTAATAATAGTATAGATAAAAACTCTTTTTATATTAATTAATAAATATTTTTTCATATAAATAAATAAATATTGAAATTCTTTGGTAGAGTTTCTGTATTTTACTCTACAATTCTGGATTTCTAGAAATTTCAATTTCTATACATCTTCCTCCTTCCTCTTTCCTTCATGCCTCTATTTATAGATTTCTTGGATTAGTAGGATGATGACATGTGTCATTTTCTGATAATTACATAATCATAACTGGGCCGTGCTGGTTATATTGTAATAATTATCCATAAAAAATAACTATTCTTTTTATATTGAATTAAAAATAAGAGTTTTATATAGAATGTGATTGATTTTATTAGGTAATTTTTGGAGTTTTATAGAAAATATTTTTATATCAATTAATAAATATTTTTTTTATATAAATAAATAAATACTGAAATGAATTATTTTAGAAAAATTATTTTGTTTTATATATCAATTAATAAATATTTTTTATATTAGTAATTCTTGTCTAATTAGATTTTCTTTTATTAAAAAATTCATAGTAATAAATAGATAAATAGGTTAATTTAAATTTTATTATGTAGATTTTAGTGTTTTAAATATTTTTTTTATATAAATAAATAAATACTTAAATACTGAAACTCTTTGCACATCTAATAATAGTATAGATAAAAACTCTTTTTATATCAATTAATAATTTTTTTATATATAAATAAATAAATATTGAAACTATTTGGCAGAGTTTCCGTATTTTACTCTGAAATTCTGAATTTCTAGAATTCTCAATTTATGTATCATTTCCTCCTTCCCTCTATTTTTAGGCTTCTTGGATTAATAAAATGACGATATGTGTATTTTTCTGATAATTACATAATCATAACTGGGCCGGGCCGGTTATATTGTGACAATTATTCATAAAAAATAACTATTCTTTTTATATTGAACTAAAAATTAGAGTTTTATATAGGATGTGATTGATTTTATTAAGTAATTTTTAGAGTATTATAGAAATTATTTTTACAAAAACTATTTTTATATCAATTAATAAATATTTTTTTATATAAATAAATAAATACTGAAATACAGAAATACTTTGCATGATTTTATTAGGTAATTTTCAATTAATAAATATTTTTTATTTTAATAATTATTGTCTAATTAAATTTACTTTTATTAAAAAAAAACTCATAATAAATAGGTAAATAGGTAATTTGTACTTAAATACTGAAACTCTTTACACATCTAATAATGGTATAGATAAAAACTCTTTTTATATCAATTAATAAATATTTTTTTATATAAATAAATAAATACTGAAACTCTTTGGCAGAGTTTCTATATTTTACTCTTAAATTCTGGATTTATAGAATTTTCAATTTCTGTACCCCTTCCTCATTTCTCCATGCCTCTGTTTATAGGCTTCTTAAATTAATAGAATGATGACATGTAATATTTTCTGATAATTGCATAATCATAACTGGGTCGAGCTGGTTATATTGTGATAATTATCCATAAAAAATTATTATTCTTTTATATTGAACTAAAAATAAGAGTTTTATATAGAATGTGATTGATTTTATTAGGTAATTTTTAGAGTTTTATAGAAACTATTTTTATATCAATTAATAGATTTTTTTTTATATAAATAAATAAATACTGAAACACTTTGCATGATTTTATTAGGTAATTTTCAATTAATAAATATTTTTGATTTTAATAATTCATGTCTAATTAGATTTACTTTTATTAAAAAAAACTCATAATAAATAGATAAATAGGTAATTTGTGTTAGAGTTTTATAGAAACTCTTTTAAAGTCTCTTTTTATATCAATTAATAAATAATTTTTTATATTAACAATACTTGTCTAATTAGATTTCATTTTATTAAAAAACTCATAATAAATAGATAAATAGGTAATTTGTGACAGAGTTTTATAGAAACTCTTTAAATATATCTTTATCTAGTGTGATCGTTTTATTGAAAATAAAATGAGTAATTTGTGATATAGTTTTATAGAAATTATTTTATTTTCTTTAAATATATCCTTGTCTAGTTAGATTTAATTTTACTAAGAAACTCGTAATAAAAGCTAATTTATGTTAGAGTTTTAGAAAAATTATTTTGTTTTATATATCAATTAATAAATATTTTAATATTAATAATTCTGGTCTAATTAGATTTTCTTTTATTAAAAAATTCATAATAATAAATAGATAAATATGTTAATTTATGGACCATTTGGTCAAGCACAATTGATTATAGATTGAATTTTAAGTTTATTAGGTAATTTTGAGTTTTATAGAATTTATATCAGGGATATAATAATTAATGAGAGCTCTTTATTGTGAATTAAACTCTTTTTATATTTTGTTAATTTGAATTTTATTAGGTAATTTTGAGTTTTATAGAATTTATATCAATTAATAAATAAATACTGAAACTCTTTGCACAAAGGCAAAAAAAGCCGACCCAAAAAAATTTAGTACCATACTTGATCTTAGCCAAAAGGCCGAGAAGGTGTAATTATTATTTCTTTAGCTTTATAATTTTATAAGAGACTTTCATGTAATTCTTTTTACTTAAAATCAATGTGAGACTTTGTAATTTGAATTAAATTTTTTTTATATTTTGTTAATTTGAATTAATTTTAATTTTATTTGATAATTTTAAGTGTTATAGAATTTATATCAATTAATAAATAAATACTGAAATACCAAAACACTTTACACATTTAATAATAGCATATATATATATATACTTATCACACTCTGTACAAATGTGTGAGACTTCAAAACCACATCTGCATAGGATAGGATCCAATGGCTGGTTAATAATGGGCATCTGGACTCTCCGCTGGTTGACCAAAATGCCTTTCCCCGGCTAAAAGGTATGGACCTAAAGAGGTACTAGATTTGGTGCATTCAGATGCCCCCTAGTGGAAATTTAAAATTCTAGTATTTAACTACTACTAAAAAGTAGGCTAATTTGGTCAAATCTTGATCTACTCATAGTTGATAACCCAATTTGAATTTTATCTGAAGAAGCCAAGGGGGAAATTGCTCTTGCATGATCTCAAAATTGCTTCATATTTCTCGTATACCATCTTGTAAATGTGCCATAACAAAAACAGGCAGCGACTTTCACAAATCTTTGTATATAGTGAGAAGCGTTCATCACTTCTCAGACTCAGGCACACCTTCTATCATCAATGGCGACGGCAGCAGCTCCTTCTTCCCTTCATTTCCTCCTGCATGGAACATCCACAAATTTGTTATGAAAATAAGTAGAAATTGCATTGAAAGAAACTAGGAAAAAAAAAAAAAAAAATGCATTGTTGTTAGTAGACCAACCTCTACCTTCCATGTTCAGGCCTAGCCGATTTGCAAGAACAGCTTTACGAAGTTTAGAATACCCTTTCATTCCCCGTTGCTTTGCTATGGCTTTTAAATCAACTAATGACAAATTTTTAAAAGCCACAACATCTGGATAAGGCAGTTCAGGACAAGGCAACAGTTTAACAGTAAGAACAGCTTTACGAAGTTTAGAATACCCTTTCATTCCCCGTTGCTTTGCTATGGCTTTTAAATCAACTAATGACAAATTTTTTAAAGCCACAACATCTGGATAAGGCAGTTCGGGACAAGGCAACAGTTTAACAGTATCCTTATCAGAATCCTTAGTGAAGGAGCAGTCGGTGATCCAAAGATCTTTTCCGGTTGCACTGTCTGGTGTGTGCAACTGCTCTGAATTGATTTGAAGGCCCCTCAACTTTTTAGTCTTGTTATGGTCGGCTGAATTTGAACTCTTTTTTCTTTTATAATTCGACAGTGGAACTTCTGTGCCGACATCTGCAGTGACACCGTGTTTTTCTTCAGTGCAGCACATGCCTGACTGGGCCTTCTTATTGGTTCCCATGCTTGCAGACTGATTGGAGCTGATCTGGTCGTCAGCCATTCCAAATCCCAATTGCCTCTTGGATTTTATGGAAGATGCATCTGAATGAACTTCCACAGAAGAGAAACCTGATTCCAGAACGCGCACTGGAATTAATTCAAGTTCTCTCTTCACTCTCTGTCTTTGGGGATTCAGGGACGAGTTTGAATTCGACTTGCCTGTGGCAGCTAGTTCAGCATTTTGAACTTGTCTTGGTTTTGGTCTTCGTTTTGTCTTTGACTGTGTCCTGATTGTATCTCCTCTTATCCGACATAATACCACTCTGAGTGAGTCTTCAAAGGTGTCTTCAGAGAAGTCGTCTTGGCCCTTCACCCTCGATGGAGATTTTATTATCTTCTCTCTCTTCGAAGACAAATTAAAAGAGTTCATCTTGTCAGTCTGAGTAGCACCATGTCCTCCACTTAGTTTTGGTTTAGAGTCCTCAGTTACTGCTTCTGAAGCATCAGATTTGGAAGAAAGAATTGCACCTGCAGGCTGGCAGAAAGTTGCATTTAACCATCTAAACAACACGATCAATTCAGGGTATTATTACTGTTTATATACAATGTGGGGTCCCTTGCTCCTGGTATTGTGATCCTTTACTTGTAGCCTTGTAGGCATACAAGCTCAAGTATTAAAAGAGATCACAAGTGAACTACTTGAACCGAAAGGTCATAAACGACATAAATGCAACATTTTTCCATCTAGAACGGGTAAACTGGACAAACACACAAGCCCACAAAAGCTGTAATATGTCAACCATTAAAAAAAATAATAATAAAATAATAAATAAATAAATAAACTAGAATTGAAGATTAATCCTTCATAATGGTAATTTGAACATTATGGACAGATATAATCAAGCAATCAAAAAACTGCTTAATATGAACAGTATGCACATGTATAGTCAAGACAAGCAAAAAACTGCTTATACCTCAATTGTTTCTGAAATATTGGTTCTCTCTATTCCAGGCTTCAAAGATGATTTTAAGATAGTTCTTTTCTCCACGGAATACATTTCTATGATTTCCTTCTTCACAATAACTTCTAAATCAGTCTTGCTCAACTTGTCCTTCCCCTTGGAACCAGTTGCAAGTCTTGAAGCATCTGAATTGGAATCTTTTAATATAGCATTTCCAAGCTGTTCAATGCAAGAGAAGATTAGGCTACCAATTTACCCAAACATATACATATATATATTAGGTTAGAAGCTAAACTAGGGGAAGGGAGGATGTATATTTAATTTGTAGTAAATTATCTGGATTGCATCACAATGCATCATTTTATTTCCACCATAGGTCCATTCCAAACCTAGAGTTTTGAGCCCTCTATGAAATTCATAAGGATTTGATATTTTATTCAACGAGAGTAAAGAGCTGCATGTACTTAACTGTTTCTGGTAAGTTTGTTCCTTTCCTGGCGGAATTCAATGACAAATTGGAGATTTTACTTCTGCCCATAGTTGTAGACTTGTTATTTTGGCCTCCCTCCTTCCCATTAACTTTAGAGTCCAATTTGCTCGATTCTATTTTCTCACTAAAGTTGTCAACTGCATGTTCCAAAGCATCCGAGCTAGAATCTTTGATGATGGTGTCCTCCTGCTGTTCATTGTAGAAGATAGACATGAATATATATTATTATAAGCTAAAGCAACCATCCCCTGGTGATGAGTTGGGCTTGGACCACGTCCCCTAGAGTTTTGAGCCCCCTAGTAAATTCTTAAGGAATTCAACGGCAGTAGAGAGATGCATGTACTTAACTGTTTCTGGTAAGCTTCTTCCCTTCCTTGCGGACTTCAATGACAAATCCGAGATTTTACTTCTGCCCATAGTTGTAGACTTGTTATTTTGGTCTCCCTCCTTCCTATTAACTTTCGAGTCAAACTTGCTCAATTCTATTTTCTCACTGGAGTGGTCAAATGCATGTTCCAAAGCATCTGAGCTAGAATCTTTGATGATGATGTCCTCCTGCTGTTCATTGTAGAAGAGAGACGTGAATTTATATTATAAGCTAAAGCAACCATCCCCTGGCGATGAGTTGTACTTGGACCATGTCACCTAGAGTTTTGAGCCCTCTAGTAAATTCATAAGGAATTGATATTTATTCAACGAGAGTAAAGAGCCGCATGTACTTAACTGTTTCTGGTAAGTTTGTTCCCTTCCTTGCAGACTTAAATGACGAACTGGAGATTTTACTTCTGCCCATAGTTGTAGACTTGTTATTTTGGTCTCCCTCCTTCCTATTAACTTTCGAGTCAAACTTGCTCAATTCTATTTTCTCACTGGAGTGGTCAAATGCATGTTCCAAAGCATCTGAGCTAGAATCTTTGATGATGATGTCCTCCTGCTGTTCATTGTAGAAGAGAGACGTGAATTTATATTATAAGCTAAAGCAACCATCCCCTGGCGATGAGTTGTACTTGGACCATGTCACCTAGAGTTTTGAGCCCTCTAGTAAATTCATAAGGAATTGATATTTATTCAACGAGAGTAAAGAGCCGCATGTACTTAACTGTTTCTGGTAAGTTTGTTCCCTTCCTTGCAGACTTAAATGACGAACTGGAGATTTTACTTCTGCCCATAGTTGTAGACTTGTTACATTTGCCTCCCTCCTTCCTATTAACTTTCGAGTCAAACTCGCTCAATTCTATTTTATTACTGGAGTTGTCAATTGCATGTTCCAAAGCATCTGAGCTAGAATCTCCAATGATGATGTCCTCCTGCTGTTCATTGTGGAAGAGAGAGACATGAATATATAGTATAAGATAAAGCAACCATCTCCTGGTGATGAGTTGGACTTGGACCAGGTCACCTATCAATTAAAGCTAAATGTTCAAAACCAACATTGCCATAAGAGGAGAGAGGATAGCTACTTTTTACCTTGTCCTTTTCTGCGACATCTGTACATTCCTCTTCATGTTTTAAAAGTAGATCTACAATTGGATCTGCAGCACCTGAGCTCCTTTCTATGGCTTCTTCACCACTAATTTTTAAATCGGGATTTCTTAAATTTTGTTCCTTGCAGGAGTGGTCAATCACCAGTTTCTCAATGTCTGAATGGGAATTTTGTAGAATGGTTTTCGCCGGCTGTTCATTGTAGAATGAAAACAAGAATCCATCATCTCAGTTTATCAAATTAGCTCTATCATAGTATAGTTGTAAGTCATACAATAAAATAAAATAAAAAAGGATGGCTTCTCTATCATAGCATAATTGTAAGTCATAAAATAAAAAATAAGGATGTCTTCATCTATTAAGCAACACATAAGCGGAAATAGGTTAATGGATTGTTTTACAAAAATGGTTTGAAAAATTCATCACTAACTCTTTTTGTTATTGTAAGAAATACATGTGCACTTAGGTCTTATTGAGGAAACAAAAACAACAATAAGAGGGAGCCATTACACAATAGCCCAACCCATTAAATTACTCTTTTGTGGACACGGCAGGAACAGGTTAGGGTTTGGGTCAGCAAAATACATAGATAACTTAGTGAAACCTCTGAATTATGGAGTTTCGTTTTTTCTTTTTTTAGCAGGATTAAGACCTTATACAACAGCTTAACAAGATATAAGCCAAGCTTCAAATACCTTTATATTTATGCTGTTCAGATTCATGAGAGATAGGGAGAGAAAGAGAGAGAGATTGAGAGAAAATGTATGTTCTGTATTGCATCTCTTCAGCCCTCTAAATAAGGCTTATATAAGAAAACGGTTAGAGACCCTAATTACATAATTACACAATAACCCTAACTACTATGGGTAATTACATAATGACCCAACACTATAAAGAATATACATTCTAACACTCCCCCTCAAGCTGGAGAATATATATCAAATAATCCCAGCTTGGAATAGATAGTCTTTAACCGATTATGACCCAGTGCTTTGGTAAACATATCAGCTAGTTGATCTTCAGACTTCACAAATGGAGTAGAGATGCTACCACTTAATATTTTTTCCCGAGTAAAATGACAATCAATGTTTGGTTCTCTCATGAAATACAGGATTCGATGCTATGTGAACTGCTGCTTGGTTATCACAGAACAATGGAGTAGGAGTTTCAACTGTCAACTCAAGTTCTTTTAGAAGATTTTGTATCCATGTCAACTCACTAATGGTATGTGCCATTGCCTTGTACTCAGCTTCAGCACTAGATCGAGCTACCACCGTTTGCTTTTTACTCTTCCATGTAACAAGATTTCCTCCTACAAATGTACAGTAGCCTGTAGTAGATCTCCTATCTGAAGGAGAACCAGCCCAGTCAGCATCTATAAAACCTTCCACCCTGAGATGACCATTTGAATGGTATAGTAACCCAAAACCTAGAGCTCGCTTGAGATATCGGATAATCCGAAGAACAGCAATCCAATGTGGCATTCTAGGAGCTCCCATAAACTGACTTACAACGCTAACTGCATATGAAATATCAGGTCGAGTGATAGTGAGGTAAATTAATTTCCCAACAAGGCGACGAAATCTGCCTGGGTCATTAAATAGATCACCCTCATCAGACACAAGTTTTGTATTTGAATCCATAGGAGCATCAACCGGACGACCACCTAACATACCCGTTTCTTCTAGCAAATCCAACACATATTTTCGTTGAGATAAACTTATACCTTCCTTGGATCTAGCAACTTCAATACCCAAGAAGTATCTAAGTTTACCCAAGTCTTTAGTGTGGACCGATTTTGCAGAAACAACTTCAACTTAGCAATGCCTGCAGAATCATCACCTGTGATCACAATATCATCTACATACACCACAAGAAAGATGAAGCCAGCTTTAGTGCGCAGGTGAAATACCGAATGATCGGTCTGGCATCTGTTAAGACCAAATTCTAATGCCGCCTCAGAGAATTTCCCAAACCAAGCCCGCGGAGATTGTTTCAATCCATACAGGGCCTTTTTAAGGCGACAAACAGTGTGACGAGACTCCCCCTGAGCAACAAACCCAGGCGGTTGCTCCACATAAACTTCTTCAACCAAGTCACCATGTAAGAAGGCATTTTTGACATCCAATTGGAACAACGGCCAGTTACAATTGGCAGCAATGAAAATAAGAATCCGAATAGAAGAAATCTTAGCAACAGGAGAAAAAGTCTCATCATAGTCAACACCATAAGTTTGAGTGTACCCCTTTGCCACTAGACGAGCCTTCAACCGCTCAATAGACCCATCTTAAAGGTATTTAACTATGTAGACCCACTTACAACCAGCCGGTTTGGAGCCCGGAGGTAAGGGAACAAGATCCCATGTTCCATTACGATGAAGGGCATCCATTTCATCTACCATGGCTTGCCGCCAACCCAAATCAGAGAGAGCATCCTGCAATGTCTTTGGAACAAAAGTAGCAGATACTTTGGATAAAAAACAAGATAAAGAGGATGAAATATGACGATAGGAGACAAAGTTAGAAATGGGATGAGCAGTAACACACGACCGAATATCTTTACGAAGGGCAATAGGCAAATCATCAGGTAAAGGTGTCGGATCCGAAGACTCTGAAGGAGATGGAGGGAGCGAAGTAGGCGGTCGAGGTCGTCGAGTATAAACCTGCAAAGGAACAGCAGACCGAGGAGGTGCGGAAACAGGAAACTGAGAGGGAACCGATGGCAAAGGTGGCTCAGAAGTAATATCGAGAGGACTAGTAGAATCAGAAAAATATGGGATAGACTCAGAAAATGTTATATCAGCACTAGTGAAATAGCGTTGGAAATGAGGACTGTAACACCGATAGCCCTTCTGAGTGCGTGAATACCCAAGAAAAACACATTTAGTTGCACGAGGGTCGAGTTTATCAAGACCAGGTCCAAGGTTATGGACAAAACACACACAGCCAAAGACCCACGGAGTCGGATTAAACGATACGGAGTCGGGAAATAGAACAGAGTGAGGAGAGTTACCGTGTAGCACTGATGAGGGCATCCTATTAATAAGATGACATGCCATAAGAACAGCATCACTCCAAAAACGTTTGGGAACATGCATATAAAATAAAAGGGCACGACAGACTTCCAGAAGATGGCGATTTTTACGCTCAGCTACTCCGTTTTGTTGCGGAGTATAAGTACAAGAGGATTGATGAATGATGCCTTTGGCATGAAAATACGTCTCAAAAGGGTCCGAGAAATATTCTTTGGCATTGTCAGAACGTAAAACTTTAATGGAACACCCAAATTGAGTTTTGATTTCTTTGCGAAATATTTGAAAAATAGAAAACAATTCAGAACGATTTTTCATTAAAAACAACCAAGTCATCCGAGAATGATCATCCACAAAAGTCACAAAATAACGAAATCCATTAATAGAAATATGTTTTATTGGTCCCCATACATCTGAATGAATTAATTGGAAAGGACTAGCCACACGATTATTAGCTCTTGGCTTAAAAGATACACGACAATGCTTACTAAGCTGACATGTTTCACAAGACAGAGACTTAACATGACTAAGACCGGGAACTTGACACTGCAGAACTGATAGCGAGGGATGGCCGAGACGACAGTGCCATTGGAAAGAAGACAAAGATGATTGAAGAGCCGTGGGAGATGGTGCAAGATCGAAGTAATACAAGCCACCTACTTCATGTCCCATACCAATCCTCTTCTTCGTCTTGAGATCCTGAAAAAGACAACATGTGGGATAAAATGTTACAGAACAGTTAAGAGATTTAGTAATTTTGTTAATGGACAACAAATTAAAAGGGAATTGAGGAACATATAACACAGAAGAAAGGGACATAGAAGGGGTAAGAAGAACAGTTCCCAAACCCAAGACTTTAGTTGATGATCCATTAGCAAGAGTAACACTTTGAGAGGAAGGAACAGACTGAAAATCAGATAGGAGATGAGAACTACCAGTCATGTGATCGGATGCGCCAGAGTCAAGAATCCAGGGACTCTGACTAGAGGACAAAAGACATGCAGGGGCACTACCCGATTGAGCCAAGGACCCTATGGAAGATGAGGTAGACGTCCGTTATTGAGACAGAAATTGAGCATACTCATCACGGGGAATCGCGACCATAGCAGTCTCAACAGCCACATGTGGAGCAGTGGATGTGGTCGGATCTGGTTTCGGGCCGGATCTGGGTCGAAGTTTGAACCGGGTCGCAGCTGAAACCGGATCGGATCTGGGTAACTGGATTGGATCAAAACAAGTCTCTGCTATCCCGGTTTTAGTAAACCAGGATTGGAATAATGTAGCTGCGCCACCAAACAGGGTTGTTCTCCTTCACAACCCACTAACAGACTCTGGCGAGCACACAGCAACGACACCACACAACCTCCGCAACTTCCGACCAAGAAAAAAGAGGCGAATCGATGAAGCTTCACCTCTGCCAACAACGACGGTGGATGTCGGCGAGCTTGCTGACGATCGACGCGGCAACAACACAAGCGGCCAAGGGGCTTCAGATCTGACGGCGACGAAGGAGGCTGCAGATCTGATGGCGACTAAGGACGATGTTCTCAACCTACCGGCAACACGAACTTCCGACAAAGACACCGACGATATACTCACGATTCCAGTCGCTCTCATACAAGGGCAACACACTTATTTTTTCCCACACCCATGAATTTATACCGCTCTGATACCATGTTCAGATTCATGAGAGATAGGGAGAGAAAGAGAGAGAGATTGAGAGAAAATGTATGTTCTATATTGCATCTCTTCAGCCCTCTAAATAAGGCTTATATAAGAAAAGGGTTAGAGACCCTAATTACATAATTACACAATAACCCTAACTACTATGGGTAATTACATAATGACCCAACACTATAAAGAATATACATTCTAACATATGCCATTAATCCAACCCACCAGTTTACTCTTTTGTGTATACAGCTGGAACATGTTATGATTCGGAACAGTAACCGTGCATGGATAACTTAGTGAAACATCTGAATTATACTTTAGCAGGAATGGGACCTGATACAGCAGTCTAACTAGATACAAACCAAGCTTGAATGCTTAAGTTTAGGGCAGCAAATGAACCGAGCCGAGCTTGAGTCTGTTCGGGCTTGCTTCATTTGTGTGTGGGCTTAGCTCAGGATCGTGACAAGCTCAAAAGGCTGAGCTTGGGCTCAGCTTGCCATGAATTTGAAAAGCTTGGGCTCGTCTTGTTTAATAACAAAATTCATTCGAGCTCATGTTCAATATCGTTTTGACTCGTTCGTGAATTTATATGAGCTGACACAAGCCTATGTTCTTGAACACATGTTCATGAGCTTACACCTATACAAGCCTATGTTTGTGAACGTGTTCATGATCCTATACGAACCTATGTTCATGAATATAGGATCCTACTCGAGTTATGTACAATTAAATAGATCACTTAGTGTTGTTTTGAGTCTTTTGAGAGCAGACCCTGTCACAAAAATCTCTACATTTGGGGTAATCAGCAAAGTTTAGAGAGTATTTTTTTCCTGATTTGGGAGGTTATGTTTATTACGTGTACCATTTCCCATCATTATCTTTATTTCATTCTTCTCTTTTAAGGGAAAAAAGAATATTGTCTATGCATGGCGCATGCTATCAACCCTATAAAACTTTTTTTTTCTTTATTTATTTATTTTTGCATGGTAAAGCAGAATAAATTATAATTAAAATTAACAAATTAACCTGCTCATCTTTCTGTTGGAAGTAATTTCTGAGTAGAGCCTTTACTATTTCATGCACTCGCTCAGCTGGCTCTCTATGCATCGGTAAAGCAACACCAAAGTCATCCATATCTTGCCCATTTTCATTCTTCAAGCTTTGTATTGAAGTGACAAGGCAATCAATCTTTTCTGTCAATGTAGCACAGCAAATTTTAGACCATTCTTCATCAGCCCAGGCTAGTTGGTTTTGAAGGATGACCAGATCTTCTTCAAGTTCATTAATTTCTGAATCTGCTTTAGTTATCAACATCCTCAGCACTTGCACACAAAGTTTCTCATTTAAAGCATTTTCTTCTATCATATCTACAGCATAAAAATGAATAGTTAGAATATATAATTGTGCATTAATAATGACAATGTTCTTAACCAATAAGGATTTTGCAAATTACCATGCCCATAACCAAAGTAAAAGTCGCACTGCCATCCTTGTCCCATATAATAACTGCTTTCTTCTATCATATCTACAGCATAAAACTGAGTAGTTGGAATATGTAATTGTGCATTAATAATAACAATGTTCTTAACCAATAAGGATTTTGCAAATTATATCAAATCAGTAACGATGTTCTTAACAGTAACTTTCTTGCACAACTGAAAAACAATTATTCATATCAACAATAAATTGTGATGAAATTTTTGTACAATGAGGTGTTAAGTTACAACTTTATTTTCCCTGACAAGATTCAAGGAGAGCAACTACTGGCAAAATTCAAAAAACATGAAATTGATAAGATAATAGATTAGAAAACCTTGATCCCACGATGAATCCCAAAGTGTACAATCCATAATCTGAGTTAATTTTGCCCTGAAATCAAATAATGATAACATCATGATGTTCCACCAACTCAATCGTATAAGAAATTAAAGTATATTTGATTGAGAAAGATAAGTGTGTCAGAGGTAAATATCAATGTAAAAGCTCATCAATTTTATATGCCAAAGGCCCAAAGTCCATACTGGTGGGTCTATAAGAATATTACACACAACCATTGGAAGTGGGAAACACCAAAATCTTCTTTTTCAAGAGTTTTGAACCCAGATTTATCAACATTTCGGTCGGATATCCCTGGTCCACATACACTAACATAATCCATTGAACTCAGGAAGAACTTTGTTTTTTTGATAAGTATACTCAGGAAGAACTTATATTCAACGTTATCGTATCAAAGACCTGAATAAGGACAGGTGGTTCTTAATTTATGATAGATGCAGTGGGGTGTCACAACTAGTGAGATCTTACATGTGAATCAAATTTTTTATATATTTATTTTCCTCTGAATTATCAATGACGGAAAAAAAATACAAACAAATCACAAAGCAAAACTTAAAGGCATAAGGCAATGTAAACCACAAAAGCTCAAAAATGATTTATCCTTATAAAGTACTCATTTAGTGATTTCTCCTACAAGCTATAATACCAAAATTGATGTAGGCAGCAGTAGAGAGGATTTTGGCTGATTATTGTAGGTTTTTGGGCCAATATTTAGTGGAGATATTAAGATTTAAGGCATTGTAAAATGAGTTAGAACGGAGTAAGATCTGAAGCCTCAAATACACGGGGAAACAAAATTTGGTGGTTGTTACGAGTGCTGTGAACAATGCCCGCGAACAGTAATTCTGCGGCTGGTTTAGTGTTATTTAGGGGCTAGGGTTGAATAACTGGCTTGGTTTTGGACTTGATAGTTTGCAGGAATTTCATATTTATGTTGCAGCAATTTTCTGGACAGTAACTTTTACAGTAATGGGAATTTGAGAAAAGGGTTATTGAAGCGTAGGGAATGGGTTAAACAGGTAGAAGGAGAGATTTTGGGTTTAAAAAAGTAGAGAAATTTGTTGGTCTGATTTTGATTAAATTGGGAAATTTTGTTTGTAAGGATTAAAGTAATAAGTAAGGAATAGAGGAAGGAGGATGGTATAAGCATCATATTTACACTCCCAAAGACATCACATTTACATTGAAGGCTAGAATTGCATCACACAATTCAATGAGCTACAGAAGCTTCTGGAATTCAATAATCCGATCTAAAAAAGTACAGATAGAGTCAATTAGACTCTTCATATTACTGATATGATTTTCACTTGAAATTTTAAAAGGAAAATTGTAACATTGTAGAGATTTTGGCTTATAAAATCATTTAAACCAACCTAAGACAATATAAAAAGACTCGGAAAACCTGAGACCACCACCACATGCCACTTGTAGGAAATCTTAAAATATAATAAATGCTCTTGACTTCTAAAATATAACAAAACATATATATAATTCTGAAAAGGCAGTAACTAAGCTTAAATTAAACATTTGACTTGACATGAAACAAAACCTAATTAAGAAATATTCCAACTTCCAAGCAGTTTTACCTTTAAATTACACCAATTTCCTAAGTTTTCACTTCTTCAGACTTGTTCGTTCTTGTACTTTCATGCTCCACGTTATTTACGATCCTTGGAACAAGATTTTTGTGAGATTAAATCAGGTGGTGATTGAGAAATTCTAATATAAATACCCATTTAAAATGATTATTATATTTCTAATCCCTGCATATGATCATCTCAGTTTTGCTTTCTTCTTCCCTGATTATCTAAACAATTACCAGAACAATTAAGAACCATATGAGATATATTGTCCAGCATCCACTAATTTGGTATTCAAAATGAGGTGTTCAATATATAGACAATGGCTTCAATACTTAGAATTTATTTTATATAATATATAGGGAGCACAGCCAGGACTGTTCTACTAACAACATAGATTAGGCAGAAATATTTACCAGGTTTTAGGAGAGAATATACCACAATACTTTAAAGTTTTAACAATTAATTTATATAATAAAAAAATTGTTAATGTTATGGTTCACTAAAAGAAGAAGAGGAAATGAAAAGAAAATTTATACATTTAAAGATGACAAGAGGATCTAATGTTAGTTGTAATATTCTAATATTTTGCTCCTTCTCATTTTGAAAACTATTTGGAGCATAACGAGAAGGGTTTTTTTTTCCCCCTAAATAAGAAGGGTTAAACAATTGAAGAATCAGATATTGTCATTTAATTTTGTAAAGCTGTTCAAAAAAAAATTTGTCAAATCACTCACAGAAAATGATAATACTAGTTCCTAATCAATATTTGATGTATAAAATTTTCAGTACCATCTATTCAATCTTTTTAGCTTGTGGATGTCCAAGCTATAACTATTGTATGAACTATGTCGCTCTGTTGCTCTTCACTAATGTAGTCTAAGATTATGGGAAACCCCAAAATTGTCTGAAACAAAATTAACTTTTACAGCAGGAAGAAGAAGTTAGGCATTTTTGGGCGTCAGAGGAAATTGCATGGTACTTTTAATTTTTTTCTTCTAAATGGAGCCACTTAAGAATAAGGGAATCCTCATTACAGCCGATTTAAGATTCCATCAAAAGTTGCTAAATGCCATTTTGTTTAATGATTTTGCTTGCCTGGTTGTATTATCATTTTTCACACTAATTATGTAAAATAAAAAACACAATAAACAAATTCAGTTTCCACGGATAGTCCAAACATATCCTTCCACTACTTTAAAAAAATGGAACTAAGAGATAAAAATAAAATTCAGAAGAAAACTACAAGGGAGAACTCAAATCAATACATTAACAGAGTATTTACAGACGCCTCGCAATGAAACTGAAAGAAATGAGGGGATCATAAACAGTTAAATTTCACACTTTAAACAAACATATCTACCAATAGCAGTGCAGAAATTGTTTCTCGACACAAACACACAATTTATCAACAATCGTGAGTTCCAATTTACATAGTATATGCATGTGCGTTCATATATATATATATATATATATATATATATATATTTTTTTTTTTTTTTTTTTTTTTTTTTTTTTTTTTTCTTGCCAATAATTATATATGTGTGTGTGTGTGTATTTCGAATGGACACAGATATACAAATTATATACACATATATACTGGAATATGCACAAATAAATACATAATGATGCATAGATATACAAAAGTTATATGAATCATTATTGAAGAACTGTAGCTCAGAGCGTCCAACAAAGAAAAAGAAACAAAAAGAATAGATCACAAGAGTGATATTCAGTCCCAATGCAATATAGAATCGATATAAGATTGATAGAAACTAGCATTCTTCAAGACCAAAAAATACTAAAAATCACGGAGAAATATACCTGAAATTACTCTGTGAAAAAACTCGCTGTGGAAAAAAAGTAGAACAGAGACTGAAGTTCTATTGATTTGAAGCAATGGAATCTGACTACCTAGGGTTCGACACACCTCGAAGTTAGAGAGAGAAAGAGAGAGCAGGGAAGGGAGTCAGAGGGGAAAGGCTGATACTTGACACTGAGAACGACGAAGGTTTAATTCGGGAGTGATGACTCAGCTGAGTGAGAGGGGGGCACTATCGCAAATATTGAAGATTTTCGGTGCATTCACCGAAAAGGACAAAAAAAAATGTGGTCCCACCTGCCTGAATCCATGTACACAACAGTCCATATCCGTACTGTGACGGCAGCAAAAATTATTATTATTGAACCAATCACTAAATAATACGTAAGTAAATATGTTATTATTATTTTTTAAAAATTTATATGTAAGTGATTGGTTCAATCCGATTATCTCGCAACCGTATAATAATTTCTCAGGATGGCATGGGGAAGCGGGAACACGGGACTGGAACTTAGGTGAGTCCCACAATTCAGTGGGTCCAGAACATCTTATCAGGTAGACCGTAGCCCTGACTACAATATAGAGTAGCATTATTAATGGCAATGTCAGTTTCCAAAAACTAGAAAATCATTTATTGAGTAGGATAATTAGTAGGACAAGGGCAGGGACCTCTCAAATTTTTATTACATATTTTGTAGGGTCTTAAAATAGTGAAAATTAAAAATACTAAAAATATTTACTTATAGAAATTTTAAAAAAAATTATGAAACACCCTGCTTAATAGTAATGGCTATGAATGGTAGAAATTAAAGTTACTAAAAAGATTTACTTATTGTTTTGGTAACTGAACTTAATTCAGGTTCTTACAATTGAGAGTTTATACGCATTTAATAACATAATTTAAATATCATTAAATAGTAAGTGTTATTTAAAATAAGATAAAATACTGAATATTGAAAGTTGCCACTTAAAAACTTTAATACTTAAAATTTAGTTCTTAAAATTTTTAATTTTATCAAGAAGTACAGAAAAATTAACAACCCCAAAATTTTTAAAGACCTAGTTAATAATGATCTAAGAATAGTTTAAATTAAAATATATAAAAATATTTGTTTACCAAAAATATATTAACAAGTAACTCAACAAAGTTAACAAATAGTTTCAATTTGAAAATTTTCAAGCTTTAATTTCGGAAATTCACACTTATAATACATAGAGATAATATAACACACATGTTTCTTCTCCTTGTTTCACTTCTTCTTCTTTTTTACTTTGGATTTTTATGCGACATATTTATGTAGGCATGGATAATGAAATACATTAAATATTTAAAGCAACTAAGTGTGTTTAATGGTATGATATAAATATCACTTAAAAATAAACTTCATTTCAATAGGAATTAAAATTTTAAGTACTTAAAACGTATTCTCTCTTGCTTTTAGAGAGAGAGAGAGAGAGAAAAAAAAAAATGAGATAATCACTTGACATTAAATACTTAAATGTGAAAACAAACATTAAAAAAATTTCAATTTGTACTTTGATTACTCAATTCAGTACTTAATTTTGAATGTATTGGAGACTTATTCAATTAAATGTGTTCATAACGCAATTTGAATATTGTTAAAAATGGTAAGCGTCACTTAAAATGTGGTAAAATTTTAAACTTATCACTGAACATTAAAAATTCATAAAGGAATATAAAAAATATATATTTATTTATTAATTACCACTTAAAAACTTCAATACTTAAAATTTAGTTATTAAAAATTTCAGTTTTTAATTTACAGTTTTATCAAACAACATCTTAGTATTTTAAAACTTCAACAAAAATTATCAATACTAATACATGCATTAATTGCAAATATACGGAAAATAAATCCCTGCTTCATTTGGAATTTGGTAAAGTGGCCACATTGAAAAGTGAAAGGAGTATAAATGGGTGAATATTTAGCACTATTCTGTAAATTTTATTTATTTATATCATAAATTAAATCAATGACCTTGCACATTAGTCCGAAATTTTATCATTATTTAAGGGAGGATATTTGTGTACGTATTGTATGAATGATAGTGTGCATACACATTCCTAGTTTGAAATAAAAATAAATTTAGGCCTTTTCTACGATTTGATATAAAATTTTGGGAATATCAATTTTTGTCGTTGTGATTAACTGATACAATTAGTGTAAAGCTAATGCATCAAAAGCCAATTTAAGTTAGACTTGCTGGATAACGTTTTTGTCAAAAATAAAAAATAAAAATAAATAAATACAATTGTGAATATTTGACTAAAATGAAGAGTCACCGAAAGAACAAAATAATTAGAAAAGGAAAATAACAAACAAGAATAGAAGAAGAAGTTATTGGATTTGTTACTTCTTCTTTTTCTTTTCTTTTTTTATGATCCAGAACGCCCCTAAGCAGGGTTCTTTGAAGGCACCAAATTGGGGATACAGCAGCTGACTCCACAGTTATAGCACCAGATTAGTCGAGAGTGATATAAGGGGTGGCAAGAATCGATCACAGGCCATGTTTGTGGCCGCTCAAAGACTTCCCAACCGCTCCAAGCCCCTGGGGGCTTGGATTTGTTACTTTGATCCCATTAGAGGGAATTTTTTTTAATACTTATGGATTAACTGCTTTGTAATACCCCCATTTAATAAAAAGAGTTCACAACGAATTTTGGTTCCTCCTCCCCCTGTCCTAAAGCTAAGCTCAAGTGATATTGTCTTCTTTTTTTTTAATAAATTTTTTGAGTTAATTTCACTGACACCCCCTCAGATTTGGTCAAATATCACATTAAAATAATTTTTGAAATTACTATCACTTAGGTCCAATTTTGTTTTTCGGTCACTAATGCCGTTAAAAACTTGTGAAAAGTCATTTTTACCCTCATTTTTTAAATTTAATTTAATTCAAAATATCAACAAAATTAAAAGACATAATTGCCCCCATTTGTTTTTCTCTCTAAAATTCACTCTCCCCCTCTGTAGCCCATAGATTTGATAAAAATAAAATAATAATAATAATAATAATAATAATAATAATATATCAAGTGTAGATTGATAAAGCTTACCTTTTTTAAAAAATAAAATAAAATAAATAAATAAATAAAAAGTGTAGATTGATAACAAAGTTGCTAGTTAAGAGGTGGAAGTGGTGCTTTGCCGGAGAAAAGAGGTTCGCCGGTGAGTGGTGATTGAGGTGTGGTGGTGGTGATGGATTTTAACTTTGAACAATTGATTTACAGACTCTCTCTAAATATATAGATATATATATCTCCTCTCCAAATATATACACATCTATGGGTGAGGATACGATAAACGATCTAGGCCGACTATAGCTTGCGGACATGGGATCGGGGCAAATAATTGAAGTATTGCCCATAAGAGAGCACCACAGAATGGGCCGAACCCTGAAAATCCGCCGAAGATGACCAAGCCCATTGGAAAGAAGGCCCAAAACAGATAGTCCAACAGCACTTGTAATTTTCTATAAAAGGGTAGTGAAGAGAGTGAAAAGGGAGAGGATTGTGAAATGTACTGAAACTCTGTCAAAATAGAGGGAGAGATTTTCTTGCATTTATAATTGGCGCCGTCTGTGGGAAGCGGAGAAGGTTGATTCTTGGTTGATCAACGTCATGTTGATTCAGATTGATTGATGACGACGAAGCTTGATCTCTGGAAGTTTAGTACAGATCTAAGAGATTGCGGTTTGCTCTTGAGAGATTCTGGATTCTTGATTGATTCTGAGAAATTGGCGTTAGGTTTATGCAGCTGTGATTCACTCTATTGTGGCTCGATCTGGCAAGCTTAGACGCCGGAAAAGCTCTGATCTATCGAAAGGAGAACAAAACTTGTAAAATTTGAGTTCAGATCTGACGTGATTCGCGTCAGCGAGACTCAGATCTAATTCAGAATTTACGATTCATGCCTTTGCTCCGTTCTGGAATAATGACCGGGGGTGATAACTCCAATACGGTAGAGAACGTCCAACAGATGAAACTTGATGAGTTGATGAGCATGATCGAAACTCTCAGGAGAGAGAATGCAGATCTAAGGACTGAAATGCAGCGTCAAGAAGTTCCGGTGATTTCGCGACCGCTCCCGGCAGGAGAAGAAGTTGCACGTACCAATGCGGCACATCACGGTGAGGAGGTAGGGAACAATCAGACAGATCTTCACCGCGAGGAGGTCCGGCCAAATGATTTGCTCGTCGTGTTGATGATCGTGAAGGATCAACTCACGTGGATCAACGGCGTGAACAGATCAGGTGAAACGAAGCCATGACTTTCGATCCACATCAAGAAACTCTCAGCCGAGAAGAAGCAATGGAGTTTGATCGTCACAAAGCTATACCGCCGTGGCACAAAGAGTTTATTGAGGACAGATCATTCGATCCGACTTATCGACCTTCCATGGCGACGTTCGACTATCGCAGCTCAGAGATGAGATCTGTAAATCAGAGAGCAATCGCGGGGTTCCAGAGAGAAAATAAAACCCTCCAATCAGCAGCTCGAACGTTTGACTCACCATTCACCGATGAAATTCTAAATGCTCCGAGTCCGAGGAAATTTTTCATGCCCATTTTCATCTTGTTCGACGGAACGACCGATCCGATTGATCATGTGTATCACATCCAGTTGAAAATGGCTCTGAACATTGAGAATGATTCCTTGATGTGCAAGTGCTTCCCTACAAGTCTAGCTGGACCAGCGCTCAATTGGTTCAAGAACCTGCCGAGGGGCTCAGTGGATAGTTTCTGAAGCTTGTGTGATCGGTTCATAAGCCAATATTATGGAAATAAGCGTCCAGCAAAGGACATTTCGAGCCTATTCACAATGAAGCAGCATGAGGATGAGCGTCTCCAAGCTTTCCTAACCAGGTTTAACCATACTAAGAGTATGGTGATTGAATGTCATCCTTCTATGGCAGTTCAAGCGTTTATACTGGCCATGACTCGTGGCACTCCATTCCACACAAGCTTGGTAGTGAACACGCCTAAGACTATGGATGAACTTAATGAAAGAGCTGATGGATTTGTGCGCTTGGAAGAAGAAGAGGCAGCTAATGCTCAGAAGACATCCGTCATATCAACAGAGGAAAAAACCAAAGCAAAGATCAGACAAAAGCAGGTTCAGCCACAGCGTCAGACCTCGTGGAAATCTGAGAAAATGCCCAGGGAGGAAG